CCCTCTCCCTCTCCCCCCTCTCTTGCGCCGCGCGCCTGCCGCAGCATGCCGAGCGTCGCCTTGCACGTTCCGAGGCCCTGCAGTATGCGGCACGTCTGGCCGAGGGCCTCCTCGGCGTCGAAGCCGCACACGCGGCACCACACGTCGTTCACGTGCACGATCCGGAACGGCTCGTGCGGCTCCGTGATGATACGGCTCTCGGAACTCGGCTGCAGCGCCTGCTCGAGCGTCGCCGGCAGAGAGTTGAGCGGCGGAAGCTGCGGGACTGCGGTGGGCTCCATTGCGCCACGCCGGGCCGCCCACGGTCGAGGGGCGCGGCCTACCGACGACCGACCCGCAGGTGACGCGACGCGCCGAGGAGGGGGGGAGGGAAGGCGGTGCGGGGGGGTGCGCGATCGGGCGCGGCGGCCGCGCGTGAAGAGATGGGAGAGCGAGGAGGTGGAAAAACAGCGTGGGGGTGGCGGGGCCGCGGCTCGCGCGTCGCCGCGCACGCTCCGCGGCGGCCGCCGCTCCGCAGGCGGACTGCTCTGGCAGAGGGGCCCCGTCGGCGCGTTGCGGCCGTGAGCAGCGCGGAGTGCGGGCGAGGAGGCGAGGCGCGGTCCGGGCGACGCGCAGGCGGCTGCAGCGGAGGCCGCGCGTGGTGTGTGGCCGAGGGATGAGGGTCGTCGGGAGTCTGGCGCGCGCCAACACACGAGAAGACTCTCGCGCCGGCCAGGAGCAATCGACGCTCTTCGTCTGTGAGCCCCCCACTTTTGATGAGCTCATCGCTCTGGGCTGATCTCGGGAGCCGTTTTTCTTTTTTTGACGGCTGTCGTGCAAGCCCCGCAGAGGTGCGGGCGAGAGGGCGGCCCGAGCCCGAAAGGGCCCGCCCTCGACCTTGCTCTACATGGTAACGGATAAGAAGAGAAACACCCCCGGACCGGGACGCCGGCGGTCGAGTCGGGACACGCTGTGGTTCAGACGTCCCCCCCCTCGACGCAGTCGAGTGACTGACATGAATAGGGAGGAGAAAGTGTCCCCCACATATCACCACAGACGCAGCACAGGGGCTCCAATCCTGTCCGCCGGGGCCTCGGCTAGATCTCCAGTGGGGAGTGCGAGGGCTGGATCGACTGCAGCGAGAGTGTGGGTTGTGGACCGTCGGGATAGCGTGTGGCGTAGATGTTCTCCTGGAAGTAGAGAGGCTGATGTCTCTCGCCCTGCAGGAAGGAGAAACTCGGACGGGAGAGTGAAAACTCCTCCCTGCGGCATGTGCGCAGAACGGGTTGCGCAATGTGCGGCATCGTGTTGAGGGCTCGGGAGGGCAACGACGGCAGCGTTGCCGAGCTTGTACAGGGGCCTCAATCCTGTCCCCGATGGGGTGCGCCTCTCGCCGCGCGCGTAGCAGTCGGCGCGCGGGTAGCCTCAGAGATGCGCAGAGCGAGATGCGGTTATCAGCAAACCAAGCCCTGGGCTTGGATGGGCGCGGCGAAGCCGCGGCGCAGTGGATAGCGTGAAGAACTCGAGATCGCTGGGATCTTGAGCCGCCGCTACCACGTGCAAGCCCCGCAGAGGTGCGGGCGAGAGGGCGGCCCGAGCCCGAAAGGGCCCGCCCTCGACCTTGCTCTACATGGTAACGGATAAGAAGAGAAACACCCCCGGACCGGGACGCCGGCGGTCGAGTCGGGACACGCTGTGGTTCAGACGGCTGTACCGTCGGGTACTTATTTTAAGATGAGGTAAACAGCAATAGATCCGGCCTGAAGCGGCCTAATCGATACCCAGCCCTCACGGAATCGGTCCCTCCCTCGTTGTACAGCAATCGATCCTTCACAGTGCCCGTCCTGCCAAACTTGCCGAGAATCGGTCCCCCACCCAGGTCACCTGTGGCGCGAAGCATGTCTCCCGCCCTCGGTGCGCCGACCGCGCAGCGGCGGCAGACCATAAGAAGACAACAACTAAAAATCTCTCTCTAAGAAGCGGCGCAACGAGCTGGCTGCTGCCGACAAACACTGCAGTTGTATTTAAATCTCAGCGGCCTACTCCGCACAGCTTTGGCGTGGGCGTGGCTCTAGGAGTTTTTCCTTTTTCGATTCGATGAGTTGGGGCTCAGCTCCAAGAGACCTCGAGAGTGTCGTGCCGCAGGAATGAGGCTTCCGAGCACGCTCGCTGTGGCGAGCGAGCCTTCCCGCTTCACGCCGCTCGAGAGCTGGGACCTCGAGTCGGGCGGCTTCCGACCTCTCGCTCCGGGTCTGTGGCTCCTGCGTGGCGAGAGAAGCCACCTGCCCGAAGGCGCGTGCAGGCTGCTCCGGCCTGTAGCGAGGGCCGCAAGCCTCGAGCGGCTGCTGCGCTCAGCTGCCTCCTCCTCGCAGCAAATCCCAGCGCGGTGGCGGCTCCGCTTCCTCGCCCGCGACGGCGGCAGAGCAGCGCCGCTCGCCGGTGGTCCGCGGTCGGAGATGGCGGCCGAGGCGTCCGACATCCTCTGCACCGCCGCGCGTGCTCTGCCGGGCGAGCCGGCGCTGCAAGGTCCATCGCCGCTGCTCCTCCTCGTCCGCACTCCGCGGCTGTGGTACCTGGCTCTCGACGTCACCGTCTCGCGCCAGCGCAGCGAGGCGGAAGAGGCGTGGAGGCTTCGCCCGTACTCCTTCTGCTCCGCCACCGACCTCCGCCTCGCCCGCCTCGCCGTCTCTCTCGCCGCGGCGCACCGGGCGGCGGGCGACAATGGGGCGCTGCTCGACCCCTGCTGCGGCTCGGGCGGCATCCTCTTTGCCGCGCGGCTCGCCGGCTTGCGCGCGGTCGGCCTCGACAGGAACCCGACCGCGGTGGAGGGCGCGACGGCGAACATGGCAGCGGTCGACGCGCTTCTGGATGGCTCAAACGGCTCCGGTGGTGGTGGCGGCGGATGCGGCGGCGGCGGCAGCGGCGGGAGCGGCGGCGGCGGCGGCGGCGGCGGGAGCGGCGGCGGCGGGAGCGGCGGCTCCTCCGTGCTCGAGCACGACTGCCGCAACCCGCTGCCGCGCGAGGCGGTGCGCGGCGTTGCTCTGGTCGCGTCCACGCTTCCGTGGGGCTGACTCACGCCGGGGAGCTCTCTCTCTCTCTGAGCCGTCCCTGAGCCTTCTAGGTCGTGTCCAACCTGCCGTGGGGCCGCAACACGCGGCTGCCGCACGCCGAGTACCTCTCCTCCCTCCTCGCCCCGCTCGCCAGCTCGCTGCCCGGCGCCACCTTCTGCCTCGTCACCGCCGAGCCGCTCGAGCCCGCCACTCTCGCCGCCACCAACCTCGCGCCGCGGCGGGTGGAGGCGGTGGGACGGCGCTGTGTCCTCTCGCTGCTCGAGCCGGCGGGCCCGGGGCAGGGAGCAGTGCCGGACGCGGCGGGGGCGAGGGTCGGGGCGGCATCCGCGAGCGGCGGCGGCGGCGGCGGCGGCGACGCGGCCGAGCGGGGCGAGGTGCTCGTCGGGGGCGGGCTCCGGTCGGCGGCAGGTTCGCCCTCGCTGCGCGTCCGCCTCGTCGCGGGCGCGCTCATCGAGGTGCAGCATCGGGCGGCCGAGGGCGGGCGGACTTGGGCCACGGCCCGCGTCACGGCGGTGGCGGAGCCGGGGCTCTGCACTGTCGCGTGGCGGCCGAGCGGCCAGACGTCGGTCCTGCGGCTCTCGCTGCACGGTGGGCCAAACTGGCGGTTTGTGGATCTTTGAGAGTAGCTCTGCGCCCCTTCGTTGTTAGAAGAGCGTTTCTTTAACTTGTGTTCTGCAATAGATCTGAACACACAGTCGAAACACACAGGGACACAGGTCTCCGTAGTGCGTATGGTAGCGTTCAACCCGTTCCGGCATCGCCAGTGCTTTACGTAATTGTGATTTGTGTGGCGCCTCATGAATCCTCGAGATTTTGACGTTGATGACCGAGAGCTCGGGCGCGCCCAGATGCACGTCTCAGAAACTGGCAAACTCAGAATAAGAGCCTGATGCCGCGCTCCTCGCACACAGCCACCAGCTCGGGCTGCTTGCTGAGCAGCTCGAGCTTCTGCGCAGAAGCGAGAGGAGGTTCAGTATTTGTAGGTGGGGCGTGTGACGAGGGGGGGCAAGTGCGCGCCTTCAAGCTCGGGGCCGCTCCCTGCTCGAGGGCGGCGGCCAGCGTTTTGCAGCCCTCCTCACCAATCTGGTTGTAGTGGAGAAGGAGCTCCTTGAGCCGCGGCGCTGCCCCCTCCTTGCCGAGGGCGGCCCTGTTCACGCGCGCGCGAGACGTGCAGACAGGGTTGCCAGGTGAGAGCGAATGGCGCGGTTCACGCCTCGCACAACAGAGAGAGAGATGCGCTCTGCATGGTGGGACATAAAAGAAAGCGAGTACTTGGGCGAGTAGGCCGTGCGGTCGACGCTGCCGCGCGCGACTTTGCGCGCGAGGCGGCGCAGCTTGAGAACGGCGGTGGGCGAGAAGCCGCCGCCGAACGTCTCGTGGAGCAGGCGCTCGCTTCCGTGAATGTGAGCCTCGCCATCCTCACCTGGCAGTCGGACGCAAAAGCGTCCGCCGATAATTGCGCTTTCGACTGGGTCGTCGCTGGCGCGTGCTGGCTCACTCTCCCGTTCGCGCAGGCGATCGTTGCAGTCGCCCTCCGCCCAGGTGGGAAGGATATGAGGAGATGGAACAGCCCGAGGGAGAAGCGGAACGAAAATACGAATGCGATATTTTTTTAAAGCTCATATGTGTGAATGTATGTGTAGATATGTATGTAACTGTAGAGAGGACTCGGTTTGGGGCAGAGTGAGTGGGAGAACTTTTCGGCGGTCGTGGAGGTCGTGGAGGTCGTTGAGTGGCGAGTCACGCTCGTGCGGACAGCATCGATGCCGGCGCCGGACGCGGCGGCGAGGCACACGGGCGCCGGCGTGGCGCGTCGGCAGGCCCACCACGAGCGGATGCGCGACGAGCGCGCTCGGGAAGCGGCCGCGGGCGACGCGGAGCTTCCGCCGGAGGACGACGCGGTCGAGATGGCGAGCGCCGTCCACGTGCTGGACAGCGTGGGGGAGGTGGGCGCGAACTACACCCTGCTGCGCAGCAAGGAGACGAAGGCGAAGGGCGGAAGCGAAAGCGCGAGGATGCCAGGGCGGCGCTCGACGGCCACACTGTCCTGTCCACCGGATCGCGCCTCGAGATCTTCTGCGACAGCGAGCGGTGGTACCCTGCGACCGTCATGGCGCGGGAGGAGGACGGGGACGGACGGATCGTGCACGAGGTCGAGTACGGCGGCTACGGATCGGCGGTGGTGGCACATGCTGGACGACGAGCGGTGGCGCGCCGTCCCAGAGCAGGCCGGCGCGGGCGCAGGCGGCGCTGCCGCAGACGGGGATGGGGATGCGGCGATGGACCGCGCGGACGGCGAGCAGGGTGCCCGTGCCGCGGGCGCCGCCGAGGCGGCCGAGGTGCGGCCGGCGCCGCCTCCTGTGCGCCGGGGTGTGCGGCGCAGCGCGCTGGCGGACGCCCTCGAGGCGGAGGATGACGAGCAGCAGGAGGAGGCGGTACACGGGTTCTCCGCAAAATTCCCGGCATTTTGACGATTTGGAAGAAAATTTGGCTGATTTTGGGCCCAAACCAGCCTCAGACTCGGCTCAGAGCCCAAAATTTGACGATTTCCACGGAGTTTTCCCGGGAAAATAGAGAGGAAAAGAGAGGGTGCTACAGCCCAAGGCACGCACCAGGTGTAAGAGTCGATTTGGGATGAATTCTTTTGCTAAGGGGCCGTTGTCTGCTGTGCCTTTTGAGATCCAAGGACCAAGATTTTTAGCAATACCAAACAAATCTAACACTGTTGTTGTTGTTTGCCTTTTGTGGTGCTAGTCCGTGCCAGTCTGCTAATAAATAAATAAATAAAACGGACATCCCGAGCTGCTGCCATAAATAAATAAATAAAACGGGCACGCCAAACGAGGGGTGGGAGAAGGACAGGGTCCCCACCTGCACGAGCAGGATCTTGTAAGGACGATCAGGGACACAGGGGAAGGGGAGCGGGGAGCGCATCGCGACACGAACAGGAAGCGTAGAATTCTTTTGCCAGTCTGCTGTGAGCGAGGCGTGAAAGAGAATAGAATTCTTTTGCTACTCAGTCCGCGCCAGTCCGCGCCCTTGTCGTGCCAGTGTGCTGTGAGAGAGGTAGGTAGAAAGGTGAAGAACAGCCAGGCTCGGACTGGACCCAACGCGGTATGGGTGGACGCTAGACAGATGATGACGACACGCACGAGCGACACACAGACACAAAGAGAGGCTTATATGTGAGAATTCTTTTGCTACTCTCTTGGCCCTTGATTGAGGCCAGCGCGGCTCGAGGTCGAGCGCATGTACATGTGGTTTCTCGCACTATCAGCGCTCACGCTCGTGAGGCCGCCGCTCCACGCTCAGCCTGTCGTAGTGAAGCTCGACGCAGCGCGAGTCCTTTCAACCCCTGCCATGGCAGGCCAGTGGCGCGGCCGCCAGCCTCGGAAGCAGTCGCTGCCCAAGCTGGCGCAAAATCGCCGAGGTCCGCCATACGGAGGCACGCGGTACTCAAATAAGCTCGCTCTCGCAAAGGGGGGCAACGGCGGCCTGCGTCGGCTGCGATCTGGGGCGGCCACGAGAGCAGAGTTCGAAGGCCGCAAGCCTGCGTCGTCGCAGGCATCAAAGGGAAGCCTCCCGGAGCCACTTGCGAAGCTCGTAGCCTTGCTCTACTACGGTGCATACGTCGGCGTCTTCGGAAAGATGGTGCTTGCCGTCCTGGAGAGGGGGCTGCCGGGCGCTGCAACTGCGGGCTAGCCGCCATCTTCACACCCACTTATAACGGCACACTGCATCGCGCCAAGTCTCACCATCCACATCTGTGCTTCTTAGACTAGTAGTCAGTCTGTGGTCGTCATGTTCTGATGAGAGACTCTCTGAAAAGGCTGAAAACGTGTATGTGCACGCTAGTCTTACGGATCTGTGAGCCAGGAAAAGGAACACGAAATGTGGGGGAAGACGACACCGGCCGAGAGATTCAGAGAGGGACCAACCCATGGGGTGCGTGGCGCGGCACACAGCAGCCGCGCGCCGCCACGCAGCTCGTCGGGGATGTCCATCGCCTGAGGGGCGACGGCCTGTGGTGAACTACTAAACTGCCTCATCCACAAAGAGAATTTAAACAAGAGAACTCTCTCTCACAGCACACAGGCTCGACACAGGTGCGAACTGGCGCGTGCTAGTACTATCACCGGCACACCACCGGAGCCGCCTAAGCGACTCCGTTAAGAACGGCAATGCACTTAGCACCGTGCACAATGCCGCTGTCCCCGCACGCTAGCTCGTTCACCGTCTGCCACGCCACGGCGGTGTGGAGGACGACAGACAAGCGCTGCATCTGCAGCCCGTGCCAGTTCTTGGTGGTCCATGTGACCTCATTGATCACCCACCGTTTGCGGGGCGTGTGTCCTGCCGCCGAAAGGGAGAACGCGTCTCGGGGGGGAGGGCCGCGACGGCGGCTCAAGCGGGAGGGAGCGGAGACAGTGGGCAGAGAGCGAGAGCTGCGGCGGGCGGAGGCGTACGTGGCAGACGGTGAACGAGCTAGCGTGCGGGGAGAGCGGCATTGTGCACGGTGCGGAATGCATTGCCGTTCTTAACGGAGTCGCTTAGGCGGCTCCGGTGGTGAGCCGGTGTGTGTGCCAGTCCGCGCCAGTCCGCGCCCTTGTCGTGCCAGTGTGCTGTGAGAGAGGCTTGTATCTTAAGAATTCTTTTCAGGCTCTTCTTTACCAATTACGAACAACTCCGGAGCCCGCCTCCCGGCCGAGGCGCCGCGGCTTCTTTTTCAAGCCCGGTGGGGGTATAACGGCGGCGTTTATAACGGATATGGATCTCGCTGCGCCCCTAGGCGCGCCCACGGCCCCACCCCCCACGCCGCGCGTGTGAGCCGGCCGTGTCCGCGTGTGTGGTGTGTGTCTCCCTAGAGCCTAGACCCTAGTCCACACACTAATCAAGCGACAGCGAAAGCCTTCATCCGCGCCGCTGCCATCGGAGCCACCGCCTCCCACGCGCCCAATGCCGGGTCGTACCGCTCCACCGAGCTGAGGATCCCGCCAGGGTTGTGGCCGGTACCCAATCCGCCTACGACATAGAGCTTGCCGTCGAGCGCCGCCACGCCATGAGCCTCCCGCGCCTCCGCCATCGGCGCCACCGCCTCCCACGCATCCAACGCCGGGTCGTACCGCTCCACCGAGCTGAGGACGCCGCCGTCGCCACGCCCGCCCACAGCGTACAGCTTGCCGTCGAGCACCGCCAGGACGTGAGAGTCCCGCGCTGTCGCCATCGACGCCACCGCCTCCCACGCGTTCGTCGCGGGGTCGTACCGCTCGACTGAGCTGAGGAAGCCGTCTTCGTCGGTGCGGCCTCCCACAGCATACAGCTTGCCGTCGAGCGCCGCCACACCATGGTCGCTCCGCGCCGCCGCCATCGCCGCCACCGCCTCCCACGCGTTCGTCGCGGGATCGTACCGCTCGACCGAGCTTAGGTCATCAGCGTCGCCGTTGAAGCCTCCCACAGCGTAAAGCTTGCCGTCGAGCACCGCGACGGCGGGAGCAAACCGCGCCTCTGCCATCGGCGCCACCTCCTCCCACGATTTCGCAGCCAGGTCGTAACGCTCCACCAGGTTGGAAGCGCCGCCCGCCGCATACAGCTTGCCATCGAGCACCGCCGTGCAGACATACGTGCGTGCCGAAGGCATCGGCACCGTAGCCTCCTCCTCCCACTCGTTCGTTGACGGGTCGTACCGCTCCAGCGAGCTGAGGAGGCGTTCATCGTTGTCGTGGCCGCCGACCACGGTCAGGCGCGGCCTCTCGCGCGTCTTCAGCGTCTCCTTCCAGCCGCGGCGCCACGCGCGGCACGTGCCCTTGATGGCGTGCTCCTTGGTCGGCAGCTGGGCGAGGATGTGCGGGGCGAGGTCCGGCGAGAGGAGGACCTCAGAGAGCACCCACTCGGGCTGCTCCACGAGCCGTGCGGCGTGAGCCTCCGCCACGCGCATTGCGGCGGCGCTCGCGCCCGCCTGCGCCTCGATGATGGCGCACAGCTGCTCTGGCGAGAGGCCCGAGACGCGGGCGCCGATGCGGTGCGAGGCCATCGGCGTGATGCCGCGTTTTCTTTTTCAAGCTCTTCTTGGGGGTAAAACGCCGATCTGCCTGGGCATGGACCCGCGGGCCCAAAGAACCTCTCTGCACTTTGATTTCTTGCACTAGGAAGATGTGGCCGGCTCGTGGGAAGGCAGCCCCCGTGGGAAAGCCCGCCCGGCCCGCTCCCGACACCGGAGCGGTGCTCCGGGGGCACGCCCCCGTGCACCACCCCCGCCTATGAACTGCACCACTCCCGATCGGGGGCGGTGCAACCGGTGCTCCGGGGGCACGCCCCCGTGCACCACCCCCGCCTATGAACTGCACCACTCCCGATCGGGGGCGGTGCTCCGGGGGCACGCCCCCATGCACGCCCCCTCATATGACAGCGCACGCCTCCTCATATGAAATGCACACCCCCGCCCGGTTTTCATATGAACTGCACCGCTCCGAGACCGGAGAGACCGCTTTATTGCCGCGATCAAAACTAGGTCACACACCAGACGACATGTACTCTCCCACCCGACATGCGACAACCGGCAAAACGCTGTCGTGAGCCAGCCGCTTTTGCGGCAGCCGACCGCGGAGATCGAGCGCGCCGCGTGCGCGGAGATCGACATGTGGCGAGGCGACCGTCATCCCGTACGATGCCGCTGGCGCGTCGGCGCGAGCCTGCGGCTCGGCGGAGGGCTCCACGCTCGGCGCGGCGGAGGTGCGCCGGACTGCACCACTCCCGCACCACCCCCGACTCGGAGCGGTGCAGTTCATATGAAACTGCGCACCGCTCCGGTGCACCGCTCCCGTGCGCAATTAGGAGCGGGGGTGGGCCAGGTGGCGTGCCCCTCTAATGGGGGGTGGCGTTCCCACGGGGGCTGCCTTCCCACGCGCTGGCCACATCTTCCTAACGGGTACATCACGGGCGCGCAAGGCGCCTGCTCGCGAGAAGCCGTTCAAGCCCGCCATCATCACCCCCCCAAGCAGCTGCGGCCGCAATTTCAGCCGGTCCCGTGACCGCCCCGACCCGGCAGGTGCGCGTTTGAGCGAGGGCGTCCTGCAGCGCACCGAGAAGGGGCCGGTCGCGCGCAGCGCCACGCCGCAGGCGTCCGCCGGAGGCCCGCCGGAGGCTGTATGCGGCGGCCACTTCCCCTCGGTCTTTCGCCGCGCTCCGGCCGCTCCTTGGCTCCTGGCCGTCTCTTCCGAGCGGCTTTGCGCGCCCCCAACATTCCCCTGACAGCAGCGCCTCACGGCGTGGGCTGCGAGGTCACTCGGGGTGACCCAGGGGGCGGCGGGGGAGCACTCTTCCGCCGGAGTATCGACGGTCTTCCCGCTACTCGCCCGTTTAAGGTGCATCCACGCCCCGCCCACCACCTTCCCGCAGCCCCCGCTCGGTGACGTCCTCATCTTCTCCCCCCTTGCCCCGCCCCCCTTCAGGCAAGGCCCTGGCCACCAAACTCGCTCCGGGAACGGGCAGCAGCGCGACGCTTTTTGAGAGCGAGCGGCAGCGGCGGCTCAGCACCAACCTTTGCAACGCAGGGGCTGGCTGCGTGGGCCCCCCCCACCGGACTCCGTCGGGTTCGCGTCTCCCTACCCGCTGAGGGGAGCGCAGTGTGTGTCTGTGTTTGTGTCTGTGTCCCTGTCGTGTCGTGTGTGTCGTGTGTAACTCTCGCACTGCTCTGTCTTAGCTCTCGCCACAGGCTCAGCCTCGCCTCTCGCTCTCCGCCCGCACGCTCGACGCACACGACAGAACCCGGACGACGTGCGTTTTTGCTTCTCTACAAAACACGCACACCCACGCCCGCCCCAGTCAGCGGACCCAGCGCCATCGAGAACAAAGACTTTGGCGAGCCAACGCAGCCGAGAGATAAATTCTCCGCAAGAGAGCCTGCCGCTAGCGGAGTAGCGGTGCAGAGCGCGAACTCGCCGTACTCGAGTACTGAGCCTAGCGCAGCGCGAACTCGCTCCTGTACATAGTTGCGAAAAGAAAGAAAGAAAGAAAACACACAACCCATGGGAGGGATGGGAGAACGGCACGCCGCCACCACACAGGGATTTATAGTTGCGCAATCCTAGCCGGACGAGAAGAATTCTTTTCTCCAACGGCCGCGCTCTGGGGTCGCTCGGCGCTCGCCTGTTCGCCGCTGGTGCTCCCGCCGCCACCCGAGAATTCGGTTGAGAGATGGCCGGGGCGCCGCAGCACCTCGTCGGCTTGGAGCACCAGCTGCAAGTCTCGCGCGAGAGCGCGCTTCTGGGCAACTACGAGGCGTCGCTCGTACACTTTGACGGCGCCATCTCGCAGGTGCAGCGCTACCTGCGGACTCTCGACGACCCGGCGCTGCGTGCAAAGTGGCTGCGGGCGAAGGAGGACCTCTCGGGCGAGTTCCAGATTGTCAAGGAGATCGTGGCCGAGCTCTCAAAGCTCCGCGCCGGCAGCAAGGCGGTCCCGCCTCCGACGGCCGCGGCGCCGCCGCCGTCGCAGCTGTTGCTCCGGCCGGACCCCGTCTCGGTCGTCGGCGGCCCGAGCGGCGCGGCGCAGCAGCGTGACCCGGACGTGTGGTCGCCGCCAAAGCCTCCTCCGGAGCGGTACCCTCCTCCGCCGCGCCGCGCCGCGCCGCCCGACTGGGCGAGGCGCGATCCGCAGCAGGCGGCGGCGGCGGCGGCGGCGGCGGCGGCGGCGCCACAGCACGGGCCCGGCGCAGCGCGTGGCGCTCGGGCGGCGGCGGCGGGCTACGGCGCGGCGGCCGCCGCCGATGCTCCGCCAGCGGGAGGCCGGCGGCGCGGCGAGCGCAAGCCTCCCGTGCCTCCGCGTCCAAAGGCGGAGAGAGGCGGGGGGAGAGGGGCGCGGCGGTTTGTGGATGAGGTTTGTGCGGCGGACGCGGAGCTGGCGAGCATGATCGAGCGCGACATCCTCGAGCGGAGGCCGTCCGTGCACTGGGGCGACATCGCGGCCTCGAGGAGGCGAGGCGCTGACGAGCCGTGTGCGTGACTGCTGGTGAGTTGGTTAGGCGACATCGCCGGCCTCGAGGAGGCGAAGAGCGTGCAAGTCACTAGGCTTGAGTGGTGAGGCCGCTCTCGGTGGACCGGCCGACGAGTTGGCTAGGCGAAGCGCGTGCTCGAGGAGGCGGTGGTGCTGCCTCAGCTGATGCCGGACTACTTCCAGGGCATACGGAGGCCGTGGAAGGGCCTTCTCCATCGCCCGCCCTCCCCGACGCCTCGGCCGTGAACGGCGTCTCCTCACGGCTGTGGGTGTGAACAGGCGTGCTCATGTTTGGCCCTCCCGGCACCGGCAAGACGCTGCTCGCAAAGGCGCTCGCGGCCAATTGCACCAATAAGGAGTTAGTTGATAGCCAAGTGAGGGACCGGCAAGACGCTGCTCGCTAAGGCGCTGGCGAAGCCGAGCGCGGCACCGCTGCCCTCTCCCCCCGTCGGCCAATGAGCTGGCGAGCTCCTCCAGGCGCTGGCGACCGAGTGCGGCACCACCTTCTTCTCGGTCACATCCTCCACACTCGGCTCCAAGTACCGCGGCGACGCGGAGCGGATGGTGCGGCTCCTCTTCGAGATGGCGAGATGGAGCCGAGATGGAGCCGAGATCGAGCCGAGGTAACGAAGAGGTGGAGGAGGGACCGGAGCCTTTCTGCTCGCTTCCTCGCCTGTCTTCCCCTCGCCTCACGGCGGCCTGCCCCTCCGCCCAGGCGCGCTTCTACGCACCGTCCACCATCTTCATCGACGAGGTCGACTCGCTCGCCTCGCAGCGGGGCTCGACGGGCGAGCACGGCGGCGCGCCGCCAGGGCGCGTCCGGGGCACGTCCACGACGTGTCCGAGACATGTCCGCCAGGCGAGCACGAGGCGTCGCGCCGCGTCAAGTCGGAGCTGCTCGTGCAGGCGCTGGGCTCGGCAGACCTCGGCACACCTCGGCACACCTCGGCACACCTCGGCACACCTCGGCACATCTCGGCACACCTCGGCACATCTCGGCAGATCACGCGGATGATTCAGATCACCGGAGTCTGATGCTGGCCCTCTGCGCGTCCAGATGGACGGCGTGGGCGGCGGCGGCGCCGAGGACGGCGAGTGCAAGAATGTGATGGTGCTCGCTGCGGCACCCTTCTCGGAACTTGCTGGGAAGCTTCTCGGAACTTGCGTGGAACCTCTCAGGTGCTCGCCGCCTCCAACTTCCCGTGGGACCTCGACGAGGCGCGTATCTCGGCTGTACCTCGGCTGTATCTCGGCTGCACCTCGCCTGTATCTCGGCTGTACCTCGGCTGTACTTCGGTTGTATCTCGGCTGTATCTCGGCTCTATCTCGGCGCGGGACCTCGACGAGGCGTTGCGGCGGCGGCTCGAGAAGCGCATCTACATCCCGCTCCCCGAGCCAGCCGACATCCGCACGCTCCTCGGCGCGTCGCTGTGAGGGCAACGCAGTCAGGCAGGTGCTGGCTCGACGCGGCACCGCCGCTCCGCGTCTTGACTGGGTAGGCATCAACCTCAAGGACGTGCAGCTCGACGCCTCAGTTTGCCTCGACGCGCTGGCCGAGCGACTCGCCGGCTTCTCGCCCGCCGACGTGAGCCGGCTGCATCTCGGCTGCATCTCGGCTACATCTCGGCTCCATCTCGGCTCCATCTCGCCCCGCCGACGGCCTCTGCCGCGAGCGCGCGTTGGCGCGAGTGCCTCGCCCGTGCGCCACCCCCTGCTCGCTCGACAGGTGACGAACCTCTGCCGCGAGGCGGCGATGATGCCGATGCGGCGCGCCATCAAGGGGCTGCGGCACGACGAGATCCGCAGGCTCAAGCGCGAGGACACAGACACGCCGCTCTGCCAGGACGACATCGAGCAGTCGCTGCTGCGCATCAACAAGACGGTGAGCGAGAGCGACCTCGGCCGGTTCGAGGAGTGGCTCAAGGAGTTTGGCTCGACCTGAGACCCTGAGTGTGCGCGGTTCAGTTTTTATCATTGGATGAGGGGCTTTAGTTACCTGTCCCGGCTTCGTGTGTCTGCCAGTGTGACTCTTGTCACATGTCAGGACGTAGCTGTCTGTATTTTTCGGCGCATGCATGTGTGTATTGCTCGATATGCTTCTTTCATGATTCATAATCATATGTATACGTACTAAAGCAGCCACGGACGCGCGCGGCAGGACGTCGACATGGTCCGCTCGTGACGACGGGGTCGTGGGCCAGACGTGGGGCACGTCCACCAAAACGACGAATTTGGACACACAGAAGTCAGAACGCGCGTGCCTTTTCTGAACCAGCTCCTAAAATAACTACCAAGGAGGACAACACATGCGCAAACGTGCTGAGTAGCGAATCACATTGGACCCCAAACGCCGCCGTCCGCCCCGTCGTCGGGCAAGCCCTCGAGCTGATTCTGGAAGTGCACGTTCGCCTTGAATTCCGAGTAGAGCGTGAAGAGCACGTGCAGCGACTCCGTCAGCGAGGAGTACACCGGGATGTCGAGGATAGCGCACATAGCTCGAACCAAGTCGGCGAGCTCGAGCGACAGCTCCGCGTCCGGCAGCCGCGCCGTCTCGAGAAGCTCCTCGAACTTGGCCGGCCAGATCTGCATGAGCGACTCGATGTCCGGCATCGGCTTTGAGTAGCGGACCGAGGGCGCGGGCTTGTGGCGATGCAAATCGTTGATGCTCGCGACCCACGAGTTGATCTGCCGCGCGTTCTTGTCGGCGTGCTCGATCGAGCGTACCAGCATCGGTTGCACGCCGGACGACTTTGTCGTCGCTCGCAGCTGCAGCGTGAGCACCGTCGGGTCGCTCTGCGTCGGCGCCGGCTCGTCGAGCACCGTGAGCCCGAGGGTGTCGGGCTTGTTGTCAGGCCGAGGGACCTTGACGAAGGGGTCGATCTCGCCCACTGCGGGGATGTAGTCGGTGATGAAGGGGCGCATCTTTGTCTCGAGCTCGATCTGGTGCGGCTTGTACCTCGTAATGTACCCGAACATTTCCGCTATCTCCTGGGAGACGTCGAGGTCGGCGTACTCTGCCGGGTCGTACATGCCCTCCTCAAACATACCCGCGTGCTCCGCAGCCGACGTGCCCGCGGCAAAGTCTCGGTGCACGGCCGAGCTCAACCCGCCCCCCGGCGAGGAGGCCATCTCGCCAATCTCTGGCTGCTCCACCGTCGCGAGGGTGGGTGCCTCGGGTCGCCGCTCATACCGCGGTGCCTCCGCTCGCTGCTGCTGCGCCGCCCATGACGGAGGCCTGTCGTCGCGCACCTACTCGACGCGGGGACACCACTCCTGACGGCGGGCCGCAGAGCCACTCTCCCGTGCTTGCGTGAGGCGACGTGTGGCTCCATCGCGTGCTCAATGCGGCATCGTCGGCGTGCCGATTCGGGGTCGTCGACGCTCGCTTCCGACTCCACGTCGTACTCCTCGTCGTGCGGGCGGTTGGAGATGGTTCCCGAGGACTGCATCATCGCAGAGGTGGGCGCACAGCTGCCGCTGCCACTCGCTCGAGGCCGCGCTGCGCCCGCGCCAGCCACAGGCGATGGGTGCTCCGACCCGTTGTCGGAGAGATCGACCGCCTTGATGCGCAAAAGAGAGATATGAGCTCATGCGCTTGAAGGGATGGCGCTCCTATGCCGGCGCGCCTCATCAAACGGCTGGTTCTGAATGACGCCATCGCCGCCGTGACCCACATGGTCGCCGTCAAAGTCGTCAAAGTCGTCGTCGTCCACAGCCCGCCGCTCGTTGAACGTTCCCGACCCGTCCTCGTCCGAAAAGTCGCCGCTGTCTCGTCGCTCCATTGCGCACCGCGCTCGCCTCTGTGGCTCGTAGCGCCCTCGCGCGCGCGCAGGCAATCCAACGCGCGTTTGTTACGTTCCGGTCGTTTCACAGCCTATTGAGAAGAAAATACGTCGTGGCGCTCCACAGCCTTAGAATACGTCCTATGGCGCTGTGCGCTGGTCTGTGAGAGGTTGAGGTGCGAGCCCTGGAGGCCCTGGGGATGGGAGACTACCTTCACAGCTTGCCCGCCAAAAAAAGCTCGACGCTTTGGGCTACGAGAATGAGGAGCTGCGCAACCAGCCAACCCCAGCCGAGCTGCAGCTGTCCGAGCAGCTGTGAGGCAGGGCTTGGCTGGGGGCGGGCGCTAGGGAGGAAGGCACAGCACGCATGTCTGAGGCGTGAGGGAGACGCACAGGCGCGGACGTCCGGGAGCGGCGGGGGGCAGACGGACCCAAGCGCGAGACGCGGACGATGTCTGAGGGCTGCACGAGGCTCTGACATGCGCGAACACGGAGATTAGTGTTGGGTCAGAGTCGCTGTTACCCACGCTATCGAAATTTGCACACAAAACAACGCCCGCAGGCGCAGCTCCGCACGTGCCCCCCCCCCCCCCCCGCCGGACAAGGGACACCAGGACACCAGCGCAAAATGAAACACAATCAAACACCGAACAAAACGCAGCATGCACACACGAACCCCTCACATGCGGAAACAAAAACTGGGGTCGTCTAGTGAAAAACATCCAGCAGCGGGCCGCATCACCATCAGCGGCCGCATCCCCCCTCCACATCTCCACCATGGTGTGTCGTGATGCGGAGCGCGTACAAATGGACGGAGATACGCGAGTCAGAGGGTCGTAACGGTGGCCGACCTCCAGCCGTTCAGCAGGGACTTGCTAGAGCTGTAGCTTGCTTGGTCGAGCGAGGATCGTGGCGATTGTGACGAGGCACGTTCCAGCTCGCCGAGGGTCTTGAACTCGCCCTCGCGTGCGATCGGGTGATGCGGCCTGGAGATGCTGGGGATGTTGAAGAGGACGAAGAAGGTCGGTAACATGAAGAGGGCGACGCACACGGCCAAGCAGCCTACAGACGTGGTCTATATGTGGTATTGCTTACGGGCGCAGCATCCGCGCGGCGCTCGACAAAGTCTGAGAGCCTCCGGTGTGCATCGTGCCGATGCTCATCGCAAGGAAGTAAGCCGTCGCCCCGACGACCAAGCTAACGTAACCGCTGCAGAAGTAGACCTGCGGCAGGATGAAGAGGCGGCCGAAGGCATGCACCGTATCCCGCGGGTGCAGCTCATCATCGAGGATTGGAATCAGAAAGGCGCCCGACATGATTGCCGCCGAGATGAAGGAGAAGAGGGAGAAGCAGAAACTGATAGTCGCCACCGTCTTGCAGAAACCCCCGTTCAGGTCCGGCTCCGCGAAGAACCCACTTCCGGCGACGGAGAGCATGAGAGCAGAGATGATGCCTTGCACCTGGGAGGAGTGATCGACTCTTCGTGAACTCTCACGACGGCGAAGGGCGGCGGTGGGGCGGAGGTGGTGTGGCTGAGGCGACGGGTACGCGGCGAGGGCGCCTCGAGCCCCTTTGCGATGCCCTGACGGGTGCGCTTGATCGCCTAGCAGTACGCAACCTTATTCCAAGATCGGACCCCTAACCACGCCTCTCGTGCGCTTGCGCTCTCGCCTTGACGTCGGCAGTGCTCCGTCCGAGAAAACGAGCCCGAGCCCTGGCGGAATGGAGGAAGATTTGGCCCTTGGTGGAGGCCGTCGGGCTGCTGCTCGTCTCCGCCATGGACGCAAGGCAGGCGCAGGTTGAGGTAGCCGACCGCGTTGTGAGAGAGACGCGCAAGGCCCGAGAAGGCCCCGAGAAGGCGTCTCACGAGTGTTTCGAGAAAAGAATTCTACGAATACAAGCCCCTCGAGAAAAGAATTTTACAACCTACAACAGCATGTGCATAGATATCTTCGGACTGAACAACAATAGGGCGCAGATAGCGAAGAAGCACACTCAATGGCACAAACCCAGAAGTAGCGGGCCCCGTGACGCATCCATTTCCATAAGGTCCCCACAGCGAAAGTGGATGACGGCATCATCGAGGTCATACGTGTACTTCTGCGTCTTTGAGCCGCTGCTTGGTGCTTGCCAACACCCCCCTTGATTGAGTGTGCACAACCGAATAGCGCTCGGCTGCGGCTCGGATCTCGCGACGCCAAACGGCGGCAAATAACGGCCAACCATGGGTGCAAAAATGCGTGATGATCATGCGACATTTGCAGGTTCCTTCTATTTGTGCCGGGGTCAACAAACCTCCTTAACCTCCTTAACCCACTCGTCGAGTCTCTCAGCAAGATCGAGGCGAGACCCGAATTCTCACAGAGAGGACGGGCGTGGGTGAGCGGTGTGTGTGTGTGCGCGCGCGCGCAGCCCGAGTGCCCCCCCCCCCCCCCCTCCCCTCCTAGATCCAGAAGTGGCTCCTGATTCCAAGCGACCGGAGGTGATGCATGAGCTTGATCGCCTCGTCAACAGCCGCGTGCGCGACTGACTCCGCTTTCCAGCCAAAATTATTCCCGTCGAATTGAAAGTGATATTCAAAGAAGAACTCGTCCACAAGCTCGGCCAGCTCTGGGCGACTGGCGATGCCGTAGGCGATCTCCAGCTCAGGGCCTCCGTCGATGTCGAGCTTGACCGACACAAAATCTTCCTTGGTCGCTGCGTGCGGCAAGACCTTTAGGAAGCTAGTGTCCGGCGCTGCACCGGCCGGCCCAAACTGGCTCGTGTTCAAGTCGGCCTCTTCGATGTAGTGGTTGTAGAATCGGATCCTGGGCACACGCGCAGGTGAGGATGTGAGAGGATGTTGTGAGGATTCGATTCGGAGGCAGGAAGTGTTGCCGGGAAGAGGCAGCGAGGGCGCGCCTTGGCCGGAGGAACGGCGGGACGTGACGCCACCAGGCCGCCGGACGGTGATAAGCCCCCTCCCATGCGTATATGTCGTCGAACTCCACGCAGTTCTCGCGATACCAGGAGAAGAAGAGCGGGATGGACGGGCCGCTCCCCGATGCCTCCAGAGGTCGGCTCGGATCGCCGTCCCAGTCGCCGTATGTCGTGCACCCGAGATCGAAGAACTTGTTTCGGCCCCGCTTTGGCTTGTCGGCCTTGTCAGCCTTGTCGCACTGGTTCTCGAGCAGGATGTAGTCGATGTTGAACAATGCCTTGTTGGGTGGAGCCGGATGCACGAGCCCTCCACCCAACGACTGAAGCTCCGCCGTCTCGGCCCTTGAGAGTGGCAACGAGCTCTTGCACACACTTTGAAACGCAAGCGGGTGTCTGGCCATACCGGTCAACGGTTCGATTAGCCCGGAGCGTCGGCGGGCCCTGAACCTGGAGAGGTGACGAGCGATGTTGGGCGGAGGTCGCAGCACGCTTTGTCCGCGTGGGTGTGTTGCGTTCGCGACCCACGCCGCCCACTCCGCTGCGTTAGCTCGCTGCGACCACGCCAGCTTGCACAGCCCAGGGCCGCCGGCCTAGTCGCAGTAAGCAAGCTTAAGTCCTAAGTCCAAGATCGGACCCCTATTGAAACTCTTCGGCCGGCGACCTGTTTGGCGACCGCGCCACCCGTCCACGCTCGCTCAAAGGCGCTCGACGTGTAAATCTCGCTGTCGGTCGGAGCAACTGGGAGCTGGCCCGGAATCCTTGACCAGATTTGCTGCGGCTGTTGAGCGCTGTCAGAGCGGTGCCCCGGGGGCGCGGCGAGCACCCCAAGCACCAGCGGTATCATGTATGCCGGGTGCGCGCCGAGCTCAGACGCCGTGATGCCCCATCGTTTTCTTCGCCAGTGTGTGTGTGTGTGTGTGACGCCACCGCAGGTGCAGTGCCGCCATCGGCATCGCCTCCCACGTCTTGAGACTTGACACACTTGAGTGTTACACATGGCAGGGCCTCGGGCGGCCAGTTCGGAGAAGCACTTTGAGGCAACCAACCGATGATGTGGTTGAGCGTGTCCCGGATGATAGGGCCACACGTCGGCCGCATTTGGAATCCGATGCCATGCAGCAAGGCCAAGGCTCGAAGGGTGAAGTATAGTGGCAAATGATTGCCGACAGAATCGGACCTCTCCTCCTGGCCCGCGCCGCACGCAGCGAGACGGTGAGAGGCTGGCCGGTTGGCCGTCTGGAGGGGTCGCGGGGAGATCATTGCGGTGTCGGGGGTCGCGCCGAGAGAGCGCGGCGATGCGTGCTACCAACGCCCGCCATGCGCGAACGCTGTCGGCGCCCCTGGCCTCGCAAGAGGTGATCTGTGATCTGTGAGGATCCGCCCGCAGGCGCATTTTGGCGAGGTCTATACTATGTGTGGCTGTGGTGTTAAGGTGTCATGCGGTTGGCCAGGTTGGTTTTGTGGGGCTGCGGAGCCGGGCGTGGGGCGAGGCCGAGGGACGGCCAGCTCGGAGGCGTCCCCGCCCAAGCAGAAGCACCGAAAAAATATTCCTTATAATATTGCAGAGCAGTGTGCAATCTTTACCGGTATGAGACTGGTATTTGGCGATATTTTGATTAGTTTTGGAGTGGTATGGTATAGTGGTATGCGAAAGTGGTATGCGGGGTTTTCAGTAGTTGTAGCGGCTGTCGGTGTGGTCCCGGGGGCGAAACCATGCAAAAGTGCGGGTATTACCCGGGTATACCCGGGTTTTTGCAGGTATACCCGCAAAATACCCGGTATTTTGCCGATTTTGCCGATTTTGCCACCAAGAAGGCACTCCGACTCGCTTTGATTTCCGTGAGGCAACTGGTATCCCGTACCACTTTTTGATTAGTGCAGGCCTTGGGTTTGATTAGCCAAAAACTCCCATACCGGTAAAGATTGCACACTGTTGCAGAGTCCAGCGAGAGATTACAGATTTCGGGGTCGTATCTCGCGGTAAAACCGGCTCCCGTCGTGTACGCCTGCGTGTGCTGTGTTAGTGCCAGTGCGCGCCAGTCACGTGCACAGTGCTGTTGCGAGGGGAGTGAAAGAATTTTGTGCGAGTGAAAGAAAGAAAGAAAGATAAAGAAAACAAGTTAACGACCAAGGGAGGGATGGGAGGACGGCACGCCGCCACCATACACAGGGATTTTAAGCACTTGGAGCACTTGTGGAGCACTTGGAGACGCGGCACTTGGAGCACTTGGAGTGCAGAAAGAAAGAAAGAAAGATAAGAAAACGGACAACCCAAGGGAGGGATGGGAGAACGGCACGCCGCCACCACACAGGGATTGGAGTGCAGTCGGCAACCGCACGCCCAGGACGTTTTATTTATCCGTGTGATCTAAACGCCCCACTAAACGCGGCGACGACGGGCGCTCTGCATAAAACGCGCGACTGACGGGCGCTCTGGTCACCCAAACTAAGCCGCCGGCGGCGGGGGCCCCTTGCGCTCGATCCCTGCGTCGCGATCGCACATGCCAAGCCTATCCTGCTGGGGCGCCCTCCTCGCCAGTGCGGTCGCGCTACCGACGGCCTATGAGCGCCACACTCCTGGTCGCATCCAAGACCCGCCCGATGCGCCGGCGGGGAGCGCCGGCACTGCGCTGCCATCTGAGCGTCACATGAATTTTGCGGCCGCCCCGCTTGGGAACGCTCGATGCAAATCCAGCAATGCGTATTGGATTCCAAACTCTAGGTTGGAGTTGGACGGCAAGACATGGGCCGGCGAAGTAAATTGCGGGCATTACCATTGCATGCTATCTAAATGGTCTGGGACCTACAAGCTCCGTGTCGACTGCGTTAAGACTGACGGAAAGGCAACAGACTTTTATTTTCACGACGGTGACGACACCGTGGAGCTGTTGATGAATCACAACGGTGATCATACCGTTAAATACAACGGCAATGATTACATAGAAAGAATCGGTTTCTGCTCATCCAAGTGCAAATGAATGAAGAATTTTACAACAAAGGCGGTCGCACGACACTGGGCACGGGACTGGCGCGCGCTGGCTGAATGAAGAATCTCCTCAGCTATCACTTCCTTGTGCACGAGCGCGGCCTCAGCGGCGGCGCGGGCGGGGGTATGTGAGTGTTCTGACAGCCGTTCTGACAGCTTTCCGACGGTAATACTGTCCCGTTTTGCTGTTCACAGCTAGGGACGGCCTCTGCGGCAAAAAAAATCACCCCCACCGCCCTCCCACCACACCAAACCTTCGGCTCCCGCTCAGAGGCGAGCCGCGCCCGTGCTGCGCGCCGAGGCGGCGCCGAGGCCGGCGCCTTGCACCCGGCCCGCGGCCGGCACCGCCTCGCCCCACAACTGACCGCCCTGCGGCCCCTGCGCAGGCGTGCCACAGACGTCGCTCAAAAAGCGACGCCGGGTGTGGGCTGCTCCCTTGACCCGTCACCCGCCGCGCCCTCGCCCGGCCGCCTCACCGCTCACGGAGCGCTCGGATGCGACCGCGCGCGCGGTCGCTGCTCCGCCCCTCCGCCGCGCGCGCCGCGCGCGCGCTGCCGCCGCCGCCGCCGCCGCCGCCCCCTCCTCGCCGTCTTCCCCACCCTACCCTCTGTTGCGCGCGCCGCGCGCTGCGCGCCCCCGCCCCCACCCCCGCCCCCGCCCCCGCCCCCGCCCCCGCTCCCACGCGCCCCTTCCCCGGTAGGTGTGCGTAGAAAGTAGAGCCAATCGAGAGGTGGCAGAAGCCGCCGTGTGTGACACATATTGCGGCACGTGAGTGAGACAGCCCCGGCGCGCGCGCGCGCGCAGCGCCGCTGAGCGCAACAGACAGGCGTTTTTTATGCAAACAGCAAACGGGACGGCCTGCGCAGCCTCTAACTATTTACAGTTAAGACTCACCATCTGGTCTGAGTAAAGGAGAGCGATATCAGTGTCGGTTACAGCAGAAAGATTCCTTAATTCTCTCCCCTACAAAAAAGTCCGGTGAGGAACCGACATCATGGCCCGGGAATACCGTGCTCTCAGCCTCGGGTCTGCTCGCCGACAGGAGGATGATCGAAAGGCTGCCGTTTGATTGTTTGTGATCCCCATGAATGCCCACTCACAGAGGCGCGATGTGCTTTTTAGAGCCGTAAGTGCACGATCGTCCACGTGCTCGGGTCGTTGGCCCCCTCTCACAGCTCTTCACACTGCACCTCTTCACACTTCAGCGCAGCCGGTCCGTCGCGCAGAGCATTGCGGCTGCCACACTGGTCACTGCTGGACCCGCCCGACGCACCCTGACCCACGGCGAACCCCCTCCCCGACTCCCGCCGGCGCGCGGCGCCGCGCGCGCCGCAGCCCATAGAATATTTTATACAGTACGATACGGGTACCTCGCGCACAGCTTGCGCTGTGTCGGCTGCACTCGTTTCTCTACATTCTAGAAGACTGAGTGTACGCATGCAGGGGGAAGAGCGCTCGTTTTGTCGCACCTGTTCTCACAGCATCGCCGGCGGCCGCGACGGCGGCCCTCGCAGCGCCGAGGTCTTGATCGCCAGGATCTGCGCCTGCAGCTCGCTCGACACAAACCGCGCGCGAGTCGGCCCCGGCTCAGCGGCTCCGGCTCCGGTTCCGGCAGCGGGGACGGCAGGAGCGCGCGAAATGGCGGTTGCGGGCGGGGCGCGGCTCGTCGTCGGCGGGGCGAGGGTGTCGCGGACGGCGAGGGCCCCGAGGAGAAGGAGTGCGAGGGCGACGAGGTCGAGCGAGTAGCCGAGCGATCGGTGCGTCAGCGGGTACGGCAGCGGGCAAGCGGATGCGTGCTGGATGCACGGCATGTCGTTGCACGCCTGGTTCACAGCCCAGAGGTGTGAAGAGACGCTGTTCACAGGCACTGGATGCACGGCATGTCGTTGCACGCCGGCTCGAGAGCGGTCGTGAGGGCGACGCCGGCGACGCTGAAGACGCACGACCACCAAAAGCGGCGCGCAGCCGTCAGGGCGTCACCGCCGCCCACGAACTTGGCCTTGACGTCTCGAGCCCACGCGCCGGCGTCGAGCAGGCCGTCCACGTACATGCCCTTCGCCCTCGCCGCGGCCCCGCCACTCGCCGCCGCCGCCGCCGCCGCCGCGGAAGGTGCGGTCGGTGCGTCGGGGACGGCGGACGTGTCCACGTCCACCCACTTGGCGTCGCCCACGCTGCGAGAGCGCAAGAGCAGGTCGCTCTCCAACAGGAGCAGCAGCCGCGCGTAGAGGGCGGCGAGGGAGAGGAGGACGACGATGATCCAGTCCTAGAAGCAGGCAGACCGCCGCTGCAGCTCCGCAAGCTGGCCAAAGGCGAGCTGGGGAGGGGGCGGACGTTGAAGGCAAAGGAGAGCGAGTAGAGGGCGAGGAAGAGGGCGACGTCGAAGCGCGTCAGCGTCAGGCCCCCGATGCCGAGCCTGTGCCGCAGCCGGTGGGTTCGGGTACCGTGGGGTAGGGGAGGGTGGGTTCGGGCACCGTGGGGTAGGGGAGGGCCTGTGCCGCAGCTCGTGCAGCCACAGCGGCACCACGTCCGCCCCGCAGCAGCGGCCCACGCGGCCGTTGGCGGCGCGGTGCGCGTCGAGCAGCGACCGGCGCAGCCGCGAGAGGAGCGAGGCGCCGCGCGCGAAGCAGTCGCTTGCCGGCCCTGCGCGTGTCCCCCCCCCCCCCTCCTCCGCCGGGCGCGACCCCGCAAGCGTCGGCAGCGGCGGGCGGGGCGAGGCCGACGCAGCGGCGCGGCTGGCGGGCTCTGCCGAGCATGTCGATGCCGGCTGCAGTCGGACGGCGCGCGAGAGGTAGTAGATCGAGACGAGGGAGCCGGCGTAGCAGAGGTCGGCGTACCGCATCAGGACGAGAGACGGGAGGCCGTCGGAGAGGAGGCTTCGCCTAAGGAGAGGCGGCGCAGTGTCTCAGCCTGCAGATCGAGACGCGGCCTCGCGTGAGGCTATCTCCCGGCCACCTCCCGGCCATCTCCCGGCCATCTCCCGGCCATCTCCCGGCCATCTCCCGGCCATCTCTCGGCTAGATCTCGGCTAGTTCTCGGCTATCTCTCGACTATCTCTCGCCATCTCACGGCTAGATCTCGGCTAGATCTCGGCTAGATCTCGCGTGAGGCTGCGCAAGCCGAGGGAGGTGCAGGTGCAGCCGAGGTGGAGCAGCAGCGGCAGCTTGACGGCGGGGGGCATGCGCGGGCTGCAGAAGAGGAGGCCGGGGGCGGCAAGGAAGGCCAGCGCCGCAACCACCCCCTCCGGCAACGCGGTCAGGACCGAGTGGTCCGAGCACCACGCCGACGAGTTTGCCAGGCTGAAGACCTACGGGGGTGTAGGGGAGGGTGGGTTCGGGTCCCGTGGGGTAGGGGAGGGCGGGTTCGGGTCCCGTGGGGTAGGGGAGAGTGGGTTCGGGTCCCGTGGTGTAGGGGAGGGTGGGTTCGGGTCCGGTGGGGTAGGGGAGGGGTGGCCAAGGCTGAAGACCTACGGGGTTGGACGCGGCGGTGTTTCGGCCCCGCCGCCACGGGACGGCGCCCGGCGAGAGCGCGACGCCACCACGACGCCGACGACCCCGAGCAGGAAGAGCGCGAGGGTGGCGGCGCAAAAGAGGGCGCCGCACAGCACGGCCGCGACGCACCTGCTCGCAGCGAGGCGGCGTGAGCGCGTGCGCCTGCGCCGAGCGGCGGCGCAGCTCCTCCCCTCGCACCCCGTCGCGCCGTGCGCCGTTCGGTGCGCGACCCAGCCGACGAGCGGCAGCACGTGCACGGCGTAGGCGCGGTTGGCCTTGGCCAGGAGGGCCCACCTGGTTCACAGCCAGAGGTGTGAAGAGACGCTGTTCACAGATGCATACTCGCCAGGAGAGCCTCACCGCGGGTCGTCGGCCTCGCCGTCGCCGTCGCGGTCGACGGCGCCAAACGGCCGCCAGCGCAGGAACTTCTCGAGCACGCTGTCGATGTCGTCGTCGGCGTCGAGCGAGGCGAGCTGGTCGCGTAGCAGGGCCAGGGCGGCGAGAAGGCGCGGCAGCAGCGCCAGGGCGGCGGCGGCGGCGGCGGCGGCGGCGCACAGCGCGATGGCTCGCAGCATGGCGCCGTCGAGGCGCGTGGTTTCGTGGAGCAACATCCAGATGGTCTCTACCTTCCCGTAAGGGGAGGTAAGGTAAGGTGAGGATGGGGTGCACGTCTCCACACACCACACAAAGTGGTGGGGCAAGGGGGGGGGCGACCCTCGCGTCTCCACGTCTATCTAGACGACAGGCGCCCCGCGGCATTCAAAGTGCAAGGCCCAGTGCCGTGGGTGAGCAGACCTGGCCGTTCAGCTGAGGCTTGACTACTTCCTGGCAGAGGAAGGCTGGCACGTCGGGGCACTCGAAAGCGGAGACCGGGACCTGGTTCACAGCCCAGAGGTGTGAAGAGACGCTGTTCACAGGCACTCGAAGGCGGAGACCGGGACCTGGTTCACAGCCCAGAGGTGTGAAGAGACGCTGTTCACAGGCACTCGAAGGCGGAGACCGGGACCTGCCCCGCCGTGTCGGCGTGCACGCGCTCGAGCAGCGCGTAGATCGAGGACGCGCCCTCGGCGTGCCCCATCGCGCAGCTGACGAGACCTAGACATTGGCTCACTGACTTCGGTGTACTCGCCCAGTGCTAGTGTTGGTGCCCCGTCGCGCAGCTGACGGCGCCTTGCAGGAAGGCCCTCGCAGACTCGAGCCGAGAGGAGAGCGCGTTGAAGGCGACTGTACCATTCAGCGCGGCGAAAACCACCGCCGCGTCCGACGCCGCGCCGCCGCCCGTGCCGCCGCCGCCCGCGACGCCGCCGCCGCCCGCGCCGCCGCCGCCGCCCGCGCCGCCGCTTCCCGCGCAAGCGGCGCGCGGCTCGCCGGCGCCGAGCGGCCGGACGCCGTCGGGCGAGAAGCGGAGTCCGCACAGGTCCATCGTCACGGTCGGCACGAGGTGGAAGTCGCACCTACAGACTACTGAGACACAGTTGAGCGTGCATTGCATTGGGGATGGGGTTCTTGCGAGCAGGCCGTCTGCAGCTGGGGAGTGCATCTCCCGGCCCGCCACACCACGCCACATGAGCTGTGTGCTTTTAGGGAGAAGAAGGCGCGCCGCGAGAAGGCGGTGAACGGGGACGAGCGCTGCAGGTCGAGCTTGAGCAGGTGGAGGGAGGAGCGGTCGGCGTCGAGAGCGAGGCGGAAGCCGCCGCGCAGCTCGCTAGTCGGCGCCGGCACGAGGGGCGGCACGGCCTCGGCCGACCACGACAGCGACAGGACGTACGTACCTGGTTCACAGCCAGAGGTGTGAAGAGACGCTGCTCCACGACAGGGACAGGACGCACGTACCCCGGCACACGACGCCGAGGCCATGGACCCAGCCGCCGATGCGGAAGGGGAGGCAGTACTCGCTCTCGACGCGGCGCAGCGAGAAGTCGCCGCACTCGAGGCCCTCGATTGCGATGTTGTCGATCCCGTCGCCGAGGTACGGCCGCACCACCGGCAGCAGGACACCGCGCAACAGCGTCGCCTGCCACCCGCTCACGCCGGCCGCCTCGAGCCCGAGGTCGACGACGCCGTTCGGGATGCCGTCGGCGAGCGTTGTGCGCGGCAGATCGAGCGAGCCATTGACGATGTCCGCGAGCAGATCGCCGTCGAGGAACGCCTGCCCGTGCTCCTGCGCGTACTCGTCCAGCGCCGGCTGGCTGGTACACGACGAGTCGAGCAGCGTGTGCAGCATCCCGACCCACGGCGCAAAGGGCGGCGGCGGCGGCGAGACGGGCGGCGTCGGCGGGCTTGGAGGCAGCGGCGGCAGCGGCGGCGGCAGCGGCGACGGAAGCACGTCCGTGCAGCAGTGGCCGCTGTCGCAGCCGGCGGACCCGCAGCCAACCTGACCGGTCCACCCCTTCCGGCAGCACAAGCCGGAGCCGCAGAAGCCCGTGGCACAGACGCCTCCGTAGCCGCCGAGGTCAAACGAGGAGAGCCCACAGCCGACGAGGCAACCGCGGCCCTCGTTGAGCACTGGCGGTGGCGGAGGAGGGAACGCTGGCGGTGGCAGCCGCGGCGGAGGTGAGGCTGGTGACGGAGGCGGTGACGGTGGCAAAGGCGGCAGCGGAGGCGAAGGCGGCGCCGCAGGGTGAGAGGCGCCGTCCCAGAACAGGAAGAGAGGCGAGCGGTGCAGCATCTGTCCGTAGCCCGGCCGTCTGGCCTCCCCAAGCTCGAGGTTCTCGAACCGCTGAAGAGGCACGACGAGCTGATTGACACGGCGCCTTTTACTTGAGGTACAACTGCTGTGTCCTTCTGTTTTCACGCTGCTCAGCACGCCCGCCGGTTAAGCTGCGGTGCAAAACTCTTTTTACCACCTTCAAGTACACCCCCAAGACTCCCCAAAACCGCCCAGGATGAGCTCCTGAGGTGCCAGTCCGCCCGAGATATGACCGGTTGAAGTAAGTTGGGGTTCCACGGTCCCTCCTTCCTCCCCGCACCCCGCCACCCGGCTCGCCGCCCTGTTGCCGTCGCGAGTCAGCCCTCGGTCAGGTGCTGCCAAAGGCGGCCACAAGCATCACCATCGCTACCAGCGCCACCGTGCCGGCGCTGGTGATCTCTGCGGCCCGTGTAGCGGCCCCTTAGCCCGTCGCCCGGGCACATGGCGCCCTCACACCGCTCCTCGCCCCCGTCTCGCAGGCCAAAATCGTCGACATCGCGTCGGCACTCTCTACGGCGCGCCTGGGCTCGCAGAGGGCGGCCTGGGCGGTGCAGGGTGGCTGGGCTGCCCCCCTCTCGCGGTGCGCCAAGCCTCGGGGGTCGGGGAGACCATCTCGGGTCGCCGAGGGGGCGGGTCGGACGCCCGATCCGGCTGCTGGCCGGAGGTCGCCGGCTCCGCGATTTTGGGCGCCCCAGGCGCCTCCAGCCGGGACGAGCGGCGCCAGCTGGTAGCTGGGGCCGCAGGGCGGTCGGGACAACACCGTATGCTAGTCGGAGTGGATTGTCTAGAGGTGTAGAGGTCGGTAGAGTGTCCGTTTGTGGCCTCCGGACGGGCTCTGGTCGGGAGCCCGCCGGGCCGGCTGAGGCTGTGTGTCCGTCCACTATGGACCCAGTGGTGGCTTAGAAGTGCTCTCTGGGAAGTACACATCCTATATAACACCTGCGGACCGGAAGGTATCGCCGTGGCGCCGCGAGGGGCCGTCTAAGCGCCAGCGTGACCCTTCCCGGGCCCCCTTGGGTGGGCTCCGGTGCACCCGGCTGCTCTCCAACCTTTCAACAGTGTCTTTTACCTCGATCCTCTCGCTGCAACCGCCTGCGGGGGCCGGCGCCGGCCGCCTCGCTTCGCCAGCGCTGCCTACGCCTACGACACGCGCATCGGCTCGCCGCCCGCGTCGCCTGCGGCGGGCCCGCGGGGCGCGACGCTCGTCGGGAGCCGCTGATGCGGCGTGGGGCCGCCGGCGGGGATGCTGCCGCGCACGCTGCGCTGAGGGCCTCACCATCGTGTCCTCGCCGCGTCGCCGACGCCACTTGCTGCTCGAGGCTGCCCTGCCCTTCCCTGCCATCGCGCAAACACACACACACACACACACACACACACACACACACACACACACACACACACACACACACACACACACACACACACACACACACACACACACACACACACGCACACGCACACACACACACACACATTATTAATGATCGAGTATTAATTATTATTTATTAATCATTGGGCGGCGGCGCGGCGCGGCGGCGGGCGGCGCGAGGCGGCGGCGCGGCGAGGCAGCGGGCGACGCAGGGCGGGGCGGCGCGGCGGCGGGTGGTGTAATTAATTATTTCTTAATTAATTATTACTTAATAATCATCGGGCGGCGGCGCGGCGCGGCGGTGGGCGGGGCGGAGCGGGGCGGCGCGACCATCTGCACTGACCTCGGTCTCTGGCCGCTGCGAGCAGGGCAATGGTCGCGCCGCCCTCGACTCAAGGGGCTGCCTTCCACCGTGGCTGCTCAGGCCGGGGGAGGGGGGGAGACCTCCTGTTCCTAGCGGAACGGGAGCGGGCCCCTCCTTGCCCGGTTTGCAATGCAGGGCGGTGGTCGTGCCATCTTCGCGTCGTACTCGAAAACACCACGCCGCAACCGTCGCCGGCGCGCGACACGTTCCCGTAGGCCGGACTGTCCTGGTCGAGAGTGTGTGCCGCCAAGGCGGGGCTACTCGGGGACAGTGCGTCGGCACACCATCGCTCTCGACCAGCGAGTACCAACGGTCGGCGCTCCACGCCGCAGCAATGAGCGCGAGGAGCTGATGCGGCGCCAGCGGCGGAGTAAGCACGATGTGGCTCACGGCGGAGCCTCGAAATGTGAGATCGCGGCCAGAGTCGTCGTCCGCCTCCTCGAGCATCGCGGCGTCAGCGAGCCAGTTGGCCACATAGACGGAGCGGAGCACCTCCACGCCCGCGGGGTCGACCGGCTCGAGAGAGCCAGAGAAGGCAGAGTAGACGGGCCACGCGGTGCGTAGCTGCTCGTGGTTGATGCCAGCGGAGTTCATGTCGACACCAAGATCTGGTCTGTTGGCCGCAGGACCCACTATTTTCTTTTTTGTTAGGCCCCGCACCGACCACCGTCGACACGACGACAGCGACTGCTTAGTACTTTTGGGAAGCGGATCCACTGGGAGTGTCAAGGGCGCAGGGACGACGGCATGAACACCCAAGGGTGCCGCGTCCCGCCATTTAAATATACTATGATGGAACATACTAGTTTTTTGGAACAATAACAAGTGCCGCGGTCTAGGTGCGGTAGGTGTGGCGGGCGGCGAGCCAGCCGGTCAGGAAGCAGGCCACGCCCGTGAGCACTAGGCTGTGTGCGGTGACCGGGCTCGGCAGCCACACGCCCTCGATCGGCAGCGACTTCATCTGTGACGGCGCCACCAGTCGGCAGTAGTGGATGGTAGGCGCAACCCCATTGTGCGTATCGGTCACGTTGATCTTCCAGTAGCGCGCGACGTGCGGCTTGTCGATTGGCCACTGCTTGGGCCCCGCGTCCGTGCCCCACGGTGCGGGGGTGCTCAGAGTGGCGATCAGGTCCCAGCGGGCGAGGTCGTCAGAAGCGAGCAGTTCGACGACCTTTGGGCTCTCTTCGGCTACAAAGGCGGCCATCTCGACGCCGCCGACGGCTTGCGGCTTGCCGGCGTCGAAGATCACCCACCACGGTCGTGTGCCTGCATCAAAGTTGGCAAAGCTGCCTGTATCGTACTGGAGAATATGCTGGATGGGCCCATTTCCGTGCATCGCGTGGTTGGAGTGGACTGTGAGCTCGATTGGGCGGTCCCAGTCCGCCGCGGGCGGATCGAGGGGGGAGGTGCGGCTTGTCACGGGCTTGCCGGTGACCACGGGCTTGTCGGCAAACTCTGGCTCGTGGGGCCCGATCGTACGCGACCCCGAGAGGTACTCGTTGAGGAGCGCAATTGCCTTCGTGTGGCCCTCGCGCTGCGCGTCCGACAGCGGCGTGTAGCCCGCCAAGTTGGCGGAGCGGCCGGGGTCCGCGCCGTGCGCGCAGAGCGCCTCGATCGCCTTGCACTGCCCAAAGGATGCCGCCCAGCCCAGCGGCTCCGAGTCGTACCAGTCGCTCATCTTGACGTTCGGGTCGTGGCCCGCGGCGATGAGTGCGTCGATGGCCTCGACGTCACCAATCATGGCCGCCCACTGGAGCGGCCATCTCAGCTTATCGCCCTTGAAGCAGTGGCCCTCGACGCCGCCGGAGGTGATGTGGCCGATTTGGTCGCCGCGCGTCGCCTCTCCGAAGCCTTCGTGGAAGTGGAAGCCCGCCGGCACGTTCGGCGACTTGGCAGCCTCGCCGCTCGGTAAGGGTCTACTACCTCTTACGCTCGGGAACCAGATGTGGAGCTCGTTCGTGTAGCCGTGCGACGGCTTGCAGTGCTCCTTCGTCAACTGGTAGTCGAAGGACTTGAGGGCGGCGAAGCCAAAGGAGCCGACGCTTATGGCCGAGTAGCCCTTCTCCTCCACAATCGTCTTCAGCTCATCAATGCTCGTGTGGGAGCGCCAGTCGTCGATGATCTCAACGTCGCCCTGGTAGGCCATATCGATGTTCTGGTAGAACTCCCAGCGGCCCTCAACAGAGCCGGTCTTGGCGACCGGGGGAGCCAGCTGAGCCACACGAGGATTGATACGCTGAAGAAGATTGCTGAAGAGACGGACTACTCGGCCCTGCTTGCCGCTAGCGGCCTTCTCGAGCATGTCAGCAATCTGGTGGTGGCCACCTCCGCGGGCGAGCTCGAGCGGCGTTCCCGTCGCACCACGCCCACACGGATTCGAGTGCAGGTCCAGCGGAGCGCCGAGCTCAACGAGGGTCTTGGCCATCTCATACCGACCGTGGTAGGCCGCCTGGTGCAGAGGCGTGTGGCGCCACGTCGGACCGTTGGTCGAGCGAAGGTCCGCGCCCGCCTTGACCAGAGCGCGCGCCCTGGCCGTGTCGTCGGTGTTCCGGGCAACGTTGTTCAATTCAGAGTTGAGGTCGTTGGTGGAGGGCGGGTTGCCGTGCGAGGGCGTCGATCCAACATCGAGATCGGCATCTTCAACGGTGGGCTTGCCACCCGCCTGCATCTTCAGCTCGGCCATCTGCGCGCCCACCGCCGGCAGGGCTCCGCGGATGCCAAAGGCCAGGTGGGTCGCCTTCGTCGGCGAGATCGAGTTGTCGGCGTTCACGACGAAGGTGCGCGGCGCGGTTTCGTCGAGGTTCCGGCTGCGATCGTCCCAGCTGATCACGGCGAGCGGCAGCTTGCCGTGCTCGCCCTCGCAGTGCACTTTGTACGTCGCGAAGGGCACGTCGAGCACGTAGTCGCGCGTCGCGCGGTGCTGCGAGAGGAGGAACTTGCCGCGCATCTTCGCCTGCAGGGCCTCCGACGCTGGCCCGATGCCGAGCTGCTGGTAGTTGACGCCCCACTCGTCGATGCGCTGCGGCTCGTCGGTCTTGGGCACGATCGCATAGCCGGGGGGCGAGGCGAGGAGCAGCGGCGTGGTCCGGCCCGCGCGCAGCGCCTGCGCCACCTCGGGCAGGAGTTTGACGGACTCGGCCGCGTGCGCCTTGACGAGCGTGCAGTCGGGCACCTCCACCTTCGGCGGCTTGTCGCTGGGGAACGCCGCGGACTTGTAGCCGTGGCTCCACACGAACTCCGCTTCCTCGCCATCCCCGCGCAGCTCCGCCGTGATCCCCTCGGCATGCACGTGCTGCAGCACCCCGTCAGGGCGCACAAAGTACTCGTTGCGGCCGCTGCCGCTGCCGACCGTGGCGACGCCGCCGTCCTCCGTGCGTACGAAGCGGAAGGTCTCCACGGGGTGCTCCAGCCCGACCGACCGCGTGTGGTGGTCTTTGTAGCTGCCGAACAGGAGCCCCTCCCGCAGCAGTGGCGCCCAGCGCCCGACACCAGGCGCACTGCTGGCAGGTGTCGCGTAGAACGCAAGCAGAACGAGGATGCCCATGTCGTAAAGACCTGTCGAACTAAGCGTCGGGAGTCACGTCGGACGCGGCCTCGGACACGACGCGGTCATTTTCTTTTTTTGAGAGCGCCTTCGTTTTTAATAGTTTGAGCCTGACTGTTGTTCATCTTTCTACATACATACATACATAGTACAAACCCAATGGTCCCTTGCGAGCGGTCCTTCGTTGCAGTCGCACACACGCACACGCCGCGCCGCACCGCGCGCCCGCCCACTGCCCCGCCCAGGCGGGAAAGAGATGAGGAGATGGGACAGCGAAGGAGCCATAACGTGCCATCATTAGGGTTGCCTCAAAATTTTCTTCGCCTGCGGCGGTGGGCACAGCCGTTGTGTACAGAGGTCTCACAAGTGGCGTGCGTCGCAACTTGCGCACGGAGTCTGAGAGGAGGGTGTGCGCGGCATGGTCCAAGTAGAGCCGTAAGTGGCGAAGCGCTTATAGCTTTTTGACCCATGGGGGCTCGTGCAAAATTATCCAGGGTTTACACTTTTTATTTAGCAGACCACGCGGGCCGGACTGACTGCTCACTCACCGAGCACGAAGACCTTGACCGCTGCGTAGCACGCCTCGGGCTCGTGCTTGTAGCACCAGTGTCCCGCGCGCGGCACGCCGACCACGACGCACCCCTCCTTGGCGCGCAGCTTAGCGAGTTGCGCGCGTGTGTGGAACATGGTGTTCTTCTCCTCGCCGTAGATGTAGCAGATGGGCTGCTTGGCGAGGATCGCTCTACTGGCAAACTTCTGGCTGACACGCGCGCCCGGTCGAGCCTTCGGCGGGCGCGCTGCGGTCGCACGCCTACCCAAGTCATATGCCACGGCGTGCGATCTAGATTCAGGACACGCGCCTCTGCTCGCAACCACTCTCTCTCATCCTGACTGTCGTCACCACGATTGAACGGGAGTATTGGGCTTGAGCTTGACTTTTCTTTTACTTTGCCAACAACGACACCTACAGGTAGGTAGGTAGGTAGTAAGGTGAAGAACAGCCAGGCTCGGACTGGACACCTACACGCCGCACGTCCGCACCCACCCACCCAGCACATGACCTCGAACCCACATCCCCTTTCGGGCCTTGCTTGCCAGCCTCCCTCCTCTGGCTCCTCCGCGCCGCCTTTCAGCCACAGATGATAGAGCAGCCGCCGGTTAGCTCGCGATCTCGCTACGCCTTCTTCTCCGTGACAGTGCTTCTCGCGGTGCTGCTCGTCATCGTCTCGCATAGCCGAACAGCAGACTCCGGGGACGCTCTGAAGACGCTGGTCGCCGACTCGGATGAGTCGGCGCTGGGCAGCATCGCACATTTGGGAAGCCGCCTAAGCTCCTTCAATCAGTGCATGGCTCTTCGAAACTCCTACTTCCTAAAGCTAGCCATCAACGAGTTTTTCGCGACGACGCTTTGGAGCGATATTGACCCCGAGACGCCGGATGCCTCCATTGACCGCGACCCGTTTCCCGAGACCGAGCTGAGCGGGCCTCCGTTGGGATCCGGTTGTTTGCTCGCGTGTGCAGAGAATCTGGGCGGAGAATTGCGCACGAACTGGCCGCAAGCCCTGTGGAGCCTCGGCGGCTGGCTGGGGGCAGAGAATGAGACTACTGGCGACTGGCTGGGATCGGCGCTGGGCGGCTCTAACTTCCGCGAGGTGCATACTATTCACGACCTCGGCGGCTCGATTAATGGCGTCCAGGGACTCGAATTGGTCGACCTCGATGTAAGTCCGGGGCATTCATGTCACCCCGCTGCGACGGCCTTCAATGTCACGGGCCGCCTCACGCTCGCCGTCGGGGCGGGGGCGCCCGATTTCGGCTCAGCGCTGGGAAGTGCGATTGACGAGGCTCTCCTGAGCCGGCGGAAGCGGCGAGGCGAAGGTAAGCTGGAGATTCGTTCCGCTGTGGCTTCTCACTCCGTCTGCAAGATTGGAGACGATGTGCGGCCCAACGCCTCGTTGGAGGTGGGTCCTCTAACGCTGGGCGCGTGGCTATACAACGTCACCCTCTCCTCGAGTTTCGCCATGTCCATCGCGGCATGCTCTGTGACGAGCATCAAGGTCAGCGATGTTGATGTGGGCTGGGAGGCGGCGTCGGTAGGGCACCGCGCAGGTCGGGACATCCGCGGAGACGCCCCGTTTTCGTCCGTGCGGCTTGGGGCATACGGCGGCGGCTTGGGGCGTGTGTTCGACGACGACGACGATGAAAGCACCGATGACAATGTCCGGGAGGCCGACTTGTGGGCGTCGGTGCAGAGCTTTGACCCGGGCGCGGCCGTGCGCACTCTCGATGGGCTATACATGCGGCCGCAGATCTCGGCGAGCTTGCAGTCGGCACTGAACCGGATCCTTTCAGATAGCCTGCCGACAGCCTTTCCAATGCTCTGCGACCGTGGGCCAGCTGAGGGCATGGGCGAGTATGCCAACAAGCTCGCCACGTCGTCTTCGGCCGCGGGCGCTGGACTCAAGGCAGGGTTCGGAAGCCGCTTCACGCGCCTATCAAAGGCGGGCGCCGAGCTTCGAGGCGCAGCCAGCACAGGCTGGCAGCAGAATCAGCAGAATGTTGCAGAGGGATGGGCAGACGTCCGCAGGGTGGCCTCGTACACGAGCTTCCTCGAGCACGTGCAGCTGTTCAAGCAGCTCTCGAAGATGCAGCGGGACAGGCTGGTCGGGTCGCTCGAAGAGGTTGTGTACCAGCCCGGTGAGGACATCATCACCGAGGGCGAGGTCGGCACCCACTTCTACCTCATCGTCGAGGGCCAGGTCTCCGTGACGAAAGCAGGGCAGGAGGGCGTGCTCGCGCGTCGCTCGACGGGCGACTACTTTGGAGAGCGCGCGCTAAGGACGGGCGAGAAGACGACGGCGACGGTAAGCGCGACAGGCGCTACGCCTGTTAGGCTCGTGCGGCTAGACCGGTGGGCCTATCAGCATATGCTCAGCCCGGTCGACGATCTGCTCCCACTGCGCAAGTACTCGTCTCCACCGACAGCCCCGCCGCTCGCTGCACTGCCCACCAAAGCTTGGTGGAGTTATTGACGCTGACGGCAGAATGGGGAGCGACGGGACGCGGCTCGAGAGACGACTCCCGCGAAAGCACGGCTGGCATCCGTGGCGTGGGGCTCAGTGTTGTGCGAGGGAGTTTTGTTGTAAAATTCTGTCGTCTGTGACGCGCAGAAGTTGTACAGTGTCCATGTGGCGGACAGGTTGCTCAGTATGGAAGGCCTCCCTGCTAACCTCTCCGAGCGGGACGTCCGCATCCATTCCCGCCTGGCGCCAGTCGTTAAGCGCCTATGGTGCAGAGCAATCAACTACTGCAATGGCTCCTACGGCGGCGTGCATGTAGGCGCTCTCCAAGCGAAGAGCTCTGAGGTCGTCCGCTCCGGGCTGCTGACGACGAAAAGTACCTCAGCTTCGTGGCAGCCGGGGACCGTCAGGTGCTGGCGGCTGCACATTCTGCCCGTCATCGAGGCGTTGCACGAGGTGGGGTTCCACACGCAGGACAGGCCGCTCAACATCTTCAGCTTTGGCATCTTCATGGGCGACAGCCTGTACTTCTACCGCAGGCACTTTCCGGACGCCTGGATGACGAGCTTTGACTCGTTCGTGGGCCTGCCGAGCGAAAGCCCGGGCGAGCTGCAGCGCGCCACGTGGATCCGTGGCACATTTAAGGTCGACGAGAATCAGGTCATGTCTCGGCTGACAGCAGATGGCTTTGGCGGCAGCAGGCACAACCGGCTGGTGAAGGGTTTCTTCAACGAGAGCCTCACGCCATCGCTGGCCAGCGAGCTTCGTACCGCCGACGTCGTCGACGTCGACTCCGACATCTACATCAGCGCGTATCAGGCGCTCGACTGGGTCTTCACGCACGGGCTGGCGAGGCGTGGCACGCTGGTCGTGTACGACGACTTCATGGACTATACGTGCGCAGCCAAGCTGGGGCAGAGCAGCTTTGATCAGACCGATTGGCAGGCCGCGGCCAACGCCATGAGCATTGGCCTCTACAATGCTGGTGGCAAGACGTCGGATCTCTGGAAGGCACGCGCCGCCGCCGTGAGAGCTGGCAACTTCCCTGGCCTCTTCGAAGGCGGCGAGCCCAAGGCGCACCGCGAGATCGCCGCCAAGCACAAGGTGCGCTTCATGTGCCTGGCGGGATCTTGCGCGCCGCTTACCTCATTGGGTAGGTCCGCATGCGACCCGCACCACGCCTTTGGAGCTATCTTTGTCGTGCTGTCGATCGGTTTGGGCGAGGGGACGCACGGCGTGCGCTTGACGCACAAGGACCTGACCAAGTTTCGTCATAGGGAGCAGGGGTGCTCCTTTGTATCGCGGACGAGGTTCACGCTGAGCGGCGAGGTGCGCGCCAACCGCGACGGCAGCGGCGACCAGCTCACAGATGCAGCGCTCGCGATTCGGCACAGATATCGAAACCGCACGGACTGGTTACGGATCGCCGAAGGAAAGATGAGACATGCCAAGGGCAAATAGCACCAGAATGGCCGCTGGGGGGTGGCGTGCTGCGACAGCCCCGCCAACATCGCTCGCGTCGCTGCCGGGACTGCTCGGGCACGGCGAGGGTGTGGCGCGGCTGAACACGCCGACCCGCCTCCCCTCCCCGCTGGGTGGCGAGCGCGTCGTGAGCGTGTCGGCGGGATCAGGCCACAGCCTCGCCCTCGCTGCCAACGGCAGTGTCTGGAGCTGGGGCGTTGGAAGGTTCGGCCAGCTGGGCCACGGCGACGAGCAGCACCAGTGGCAGCCCGAGAAGATCGAGGCCTTGACGGGCCAGCGCGTCATCGCCGTGTCGGCTGGGTCTCTGCACAGCCTCGCCCTCGCCGCCGACGGCGCCGTTTGGAGCTGGGGCGATGGAGGTGCGGGCCGGTTGGGCCACGGCGACGGGCAGACCCAGCTGCTGCCCAAGTGAATCGAGGCGTTGGTAGGGCGGCGCGTCGTCGCCGTGTCGGCTGGATACGTCCATAGCCTCGCCCTCACCGCCGACGGAGCCGTTTGGAGCTGGGGCGATGGAGCCTCTGGCCAGCTGGGCCACGGCGACGAGCAGCGCCAGCTGCTGCCCAAGAAGGTCGAGGCGTTGGCGGGGCAGCGCGCCATCGGTGTGTCGGCTGGAGCCGCGCACAGCATCGCCCTCACCGCCGACGGCGCTCTCTGGAGCTGGGGCTTTGGAGGCGGGGGCCAGTTGGGCCACGGCGACGAGCAGCACCAGCTGCTGCCCAAGAAGATCGAGGCCTTGGCGGGGAAGCGCGTCGTCGCCGTGTCGGCGGGAACATACCACAGCCTCGCCACTACCGCCGACGGCGCCGTCTGGAACTGGGGCCGTGGACACGCTGGCGTCTTGGGCCACGGCGACGAGCAGGAGCAGCTGCTGCCCAAGAAGGTCGATGCCTTTGCTGGCCAGCGCGTCGCCGCCGTGCTGGCGGGAGAGGACCACAGCCTCGCCATCACCGCCAACGGCGCCGTCTTTACCTGGGGCCAGGGCGAGGGCGGCCTCGGCCACGGAGAGGACCTGTCGAACCAGCTGCTGCCCAAGAAGGTCGAGGCGTGGGCGCAGCGGTGGTTAGCTAGCGAGGGAGGGTGGGTGCAGCAGTGGTGGCGGAAGCCGCGGTGGAGCGAGGTAGGAGGAGACGCAGCGCCGCGGCGCGGTGCGCACTCCCACTCGTGCTGCCTGGGCAGTCGACGTGGCGCGGCAGGGTGCGCTCGAGACTGGGATCTAGATCAATTGATCTGGATTGATGAGATGGAAGCACCGAGACAGTCTCTCGTGTCTCGTGTGAGTGTCTCGAGACTCGAGAGATCTCGACCTCTCGTACTCTCGAGCGCGAGCGTGGAGCGAGGCGGTCTTCTGAGATGCATCTCACCCTTCGCGAGCGGCTGTCTCTGTGTTCCTGTTCGTGGCTCTGGTTGCCAATTTGGGGGCTTGAGGCGGGCGCCGGGCGCCGGGCGGGTGTCGGAGGAGGGGAATATTCAGACGGCGGCTTTTGTGGCGAGGACGACGGCTTCTAAGGAAGCCGTCATCTGCGCCTTGTCTGTCGATTAACGAAAATTCTTTTGGTACCATCTTGCGCGTGCCGCCATGTCGCGGGCGACGCGGCCCCGTCGTGGACGGTGCCGGCTTCACCGCGCCCACCAGCCCCGCTTGCCGTACCCGTGCGGGTGGGGCGGCGGCCCTTCGTGCGGCGGGGGGCCCGCGTGCCGCCCCTGGGCCTGCCACCCCTGCGGCCCGGGGAAGCCTACGAGCCGAGGTTGCAAACAGTGAGCACGTGCGCCCGGGGAGGAAGGGGTGGGTGGGGGGGGGAGAGGGAGAGAGAGAGAGAGAGAGAGAGAGAGAGAGAGAGAGAGAGAGAGAGAGGGGGGGGGGGGGGGGGAGGGCGAAACCTGCGAGATCTCTCTCGGCTGTCTCTCGGCTGTCTCTCGGCTCTGCCCCGGCTCTGCCCCGGCTCTCCCTCGGCTGTCTCTCGGCTGTCTCTCGGCTGTCTCTCGGCTGTCTCTCGGCTCTCTCTCTCAAGCTCTCTCTCGCAGGCCTGGCGTGTGCGAGACAGCGCCCGCAGTACACGCCAGCGGCGACCTGCCCGTGATGCAGCCGCCGCCTCCGTAGCCGCCGCCTCCGTAGCCGCCGCCGCCGCAGCGCGGTCGATCCTTGCCCCCCCTCGCCGCGCCTCTAGCTAGATGGTGGTCCGGCGCCTCGGACGACAAAGACACGTCGTCCGCCTGAGGCAAGGGTGAGGTAACCTTCTCCACACACACACACGAGGTGGTGGGGCAAGGGCCAGGCTGGTCCCTCGCGACTCCACGTCTAGACGACAGGAGCCCCGCGGCATTCAAAGTGCAAGGCCCGGTGCGCGTGGGTGAGCGGTGTGTGTGTGAGTCGTCCACCTGCTCGTCGGTGACGCCCTCGGCAGCGCTGTCCACCACGCCGCCCGCCGCCGCGGCTGCCTACCCGGAAGGCTCCGAGAAGGGTCGCGGAAAGTTCCGGTCGGGTGTTGGAGCGCCGGCCGCCGCCGCGAGCCTCCGCGGCCGCCTCCTCCTCTGCCCGCCGCGCCTCCTCCGCCGCCTTGGACTGCTCCTGCGAGGCGGGGGCCGGGGGGGCGTGGGGAGGGGAGGGAGGGCGGGCGGGCGGGGAGGGAGTCTCGAGGTGGACAGAGAGAGGGGAGAGGAGGGAGAGGAGGAGGGAGGGAGGGAGGGAGGGAGGGAGGGAGGGAGGGAGGGAGGGAGGGAGCGACGAGAGGGGAGAGGAGGGACGCTAGGGGGGGAGGCTGCGTGCCCCCGCGCCTGCTTCTCTTTCTCGAGCTTGAGGATCTCCTTGAGCTTGAAGTAGAGGAGGCTCTTCTTCTTCTTAAGCGCGTCCAGATCCTCCTGCATCTCCGCAATGTACTCCTCCGACGGCACCTCCTCCGCCCTCCGCCTCTCCTCCTCTCTCTTCGCTTCGGCCGCCACCGCCGCCGCCGCAGCCGCCTCGGCGGCAGCTTTGCTCCTCTCCGCGCCGGCGTCGCCGTTCTGCTGCGGCGCGTGCGCCGCGCCCGCCGCGCCGTTTGTGCCCGCGCCGCCATGCTCAGCCACAGCCTCAGCAGCAGCTGCAGCTGCCGCCGCCGCCTCGGCTGACGCCGCCGCCTCGGCCTCGGCGCGGCGGCGCGCCTCGATGCTCTCGCGCACGATGTCGGCCATCCGCTGGTACTTTGGCTCGGGCGGCTGCTTGGATTGCTGCTTGAAGGTCCGGTTTCGAACGCGCTTCATATAGGCGGTGCGAGAGTCAAGCCCCGCGTGCCGTGCCGCCGCACCCTGTTCTCGAGGTGGATATCCTTTGGCCGCGCCTCAGCGACAAAAGAATTCGTTCCTTGGCCGCGTGGTGGCGGCGTGCCGTCCTCCATCCCTCCCTTGGGTTGTCTGTTTTCTTTCTTTCTTTCTTTCTGTTTGCGTTGAGGAGCGAACCGAGCCGCCGGGTATCCGTTTCCTTTCCGTGTTTCCTGCTCGTTTCCCTACAACACCCTCTAGTTTCCTCGGGAAACCCCGGGGAAACTCCGTGGAATTCGTCATTTTGGGGGGGCTCTGAGCCGTGTCTGAGGCTGTTTTGGGGCCAAAATCGGCAAAATACCGGGTATTTTGCGGGTATACCTGGAAAACCCCGGTATACCTGGAAAATACCTGGGTATCGTGCCGATTTCCTCAATTTTGCCCCAGATTTTGCCCCAGACCAGCTCTCAGACTCAGGGAAACTCGCGAGTTTCCCGAGGGAAACTCGAGAGAAACAGAATGGAGCACCAAACACCCTCTGGTTTCCCTGGAAACTTCCGGAAACGCAAAGTGCTGGGGACCCTCTGGTTTCCCTCTGGGTTGCCGGAAACCCTCGGACAGGCCAAACGTGCCCCCGCCCCGGAGCAGCAGAGGCTCCGTGGTGCCCACGGCTCTCCTCGCCAAGCCGAGCGGGCCTGGCCCGGGGGAGCAGCCTCTGGCGGCGTGGATAGCGGCCGCGGGAGTCGCCCTCGTCGCCCTTGCTGCGCTCGCGGTCGTCCTAATTGCGGGGGCGTGGCGCCGCGCGAGCTCTGCTCACGCGCGGCCGCTCGCTCCAGCGCGGGACGAGTCGAGCTACGTCGGCCTCTGGCCGCACACGCTTAGGCTTCCACACAAACAGACCTCACAGCACACAGGTCTGGGGACCCTAGTGATGTCCACTCCCTAACGTCCCCGTCCCCGCCGTCGCCCGTGCCTCGGTTCGCGTCATCGGTAGCGTCTCCGTTGCCCCCTCGTGCTCCGCCGTCGCCCTCTCTGCTCGGGCCGTTCGCGATTTCGCTCCTCCTGCGTGTCGCCCCTCCGTCGCTCCTCCCCTGCCTTCGTCGTCATCGTCGCTGTCGCGAAAGCCCTCCGGTCCCTCGATTCCCTCGTCTATCCCCTCCGCTGCGTCGTCCCAGTTTATATCCTCATCCTCTGTGCGCGTTGTCGTTCCCTCCCCCTCTCCATCGTTGTCGCCTCTGTCGACTGCGGCGCTGCCTCTTCCCTCGCCTCCGTCCTCCTCGTCTCGCCTGCCGTCGTCCCGTGTCTCCTCGTCCTCGCCATCGCCTTGGCCGTTGTCTACCTGTTCATCGTGTCCCCGGCCGCTTCTGGCATCGCCGTGGGGTTTCCTCTCTCCCCCTTTCCTCCCTGCCCCTCTCGCTGTCTGGTGTTAATGGACCCCCTTCCTCTCCCTCGCCACCGTCACCGTCACCATCCCGCCCGTCGCTCCCGCCCTCCATCCCCGCCGCCCTTTGTCTCACACTCGTCTCTCACCGCCACAAGTGCCGCCGCCGTCAGCGTCGCCATGGCCGCTGCCGTCGCCAGGCGGGCGAGCGAGGAGCTCCATGTGAGTGTGTGACTGGAGGCTGTTGCTTCCGTTTTAGCGCATTATTGACGTAGCGGAAACGCCCAGGTAAAGCCGTATTCGAATACCAAACGGGCTTATGCCTGCAGGGGAGAGACTGGCGCGCACACTAGCACACACACCGGCACACCACCGGAGAGCCGCCTAAGCGACTCCGTTAAGAGCGGCGATGCACACTCTCCGTGCACAATGTCTCTCTCCCCGCATGCACCATGCTAGCTCGTTCGTTGCTTCACCGTCTGCCACGCCCTAGGCGGCGAGGGCGGGGGGGGGGGAAGGGGGGGAGATGGCGGTGGCGGATAGACAGCCGTTGCGACAGAGCTCTCCGAGGTCGGATGCCGCACGAGTCCTCACCTCATCGGGGACGTGCCACCAACAGCCGCGGCTGAAGTCGCGCGCTCGCGTTGAGGCTGCGCAAGCGCGTGCGACAACACACGTGATGCCCTCGGTGCCACCCACGCCGAGCCCCATCTCCTCCTCACGGCGCACGAGCCACGTCAGGGCTTTGCGCAGCGGAGCGCACTGATGCGAACGCATGCCCGCCCACTGCTTCTGTTCCCACCCCTGCCGCATGCGCTCGGCGCGCGCCTCCGCCGCCAGGAGATTGCGCGCCACCGCCTCGAGGCCGCCGCGGCGCAGCACCACCGCCAGCCAACTTGGGTGGTCTTCGGCTATGAGCAGGCCAGTGCCGCGATCGTCATCTGGCGGGGACACAGTGGCCGTGGTGGGATGGCGGCTGCTCGCGAGCCAGAGCAGCAGCCGCGCCGCACGCGACGCAGCGACCGCCGCCCGCATCGCGCCATTGCTACCGATGCAGATGGCGCCGTCGGAGAAGCGCGCGGTAGCGTCGAGGAGACGCACCACTCGGTCGATCCAGAGGGAGTGCGTTGCGCGGTCGCGCGGAAGGGGCGCCGAGCCACCACGCGCCGGGCGCTCCTCACTCCTCTCCTCGATTAGACCACCCAATATACCCGCCGTGTCAGTGACGGCATCGACGGTGGCGGTGGCGGCGGCGGCGGCGCGGCGGTGACGGCGGGACGGTTTTGGCGAGAAGATCACTGACGCCTTGCCACGCGCGCACACGTCCATGAGGTGGTCGATGGCGGCGAGCAGCGCATCGACGACCGAGGGCAGCGGTGGCGCGCCCACGGCCTCGCGGAGAAGCGAGGCGCGGCCAAGGTGGCGGGCTGCACCGAGCGACGCTCTGAGCAGCACCAGCTTGGAGTCGTCGGCACACGCACCACCATGGCGTAGGTTGGCAAGGAGCAGCGGCACGATACCGGCGTTGACCGTGCTGCGCATCACAGCATCGTCTACAAGGGCGCCCTGCGGGATGAGCTGAGCCTCTGCAGCACGTCGCAGCCCACCAACTGCACGGCGGTACGGCCAGCGTGCTCGGTCAGCGCGGCGACCAGCGTTGGCACCACGGCCGCGGCCATCAGCTGCGCCCGAGTCGTCTCGCGCTGTTCCAGAAGCGCCGTCTCCTGCTCCGTGTCGGGTGTGCCACGCTTTATCCGCGCCAGCGCGCTGCGCAGCCGTCGCAAGCACGCCTCCGTCACTCGCGCCGAGCGAATTCCGCGCGCCTGGCACTGCGCGAGCAACCTCAGAGCCTCGAGCGGCTCAGCACTGCACAATGCGAATGGTTTTGGCTCTTCAAGCCAGTCCTCCGCTTGAGCGTTCTGCCAATCCCGGCATGTGGACGCGGCGTGGAAGTAGTCGGCCAGCGGTAGGTGAGCGAATATGGTTGGCAGCAGGTCAGCAGAGAGCAGGACACTCTCGATAGGGCTCTCGAATTTGCCCGTTTCATCGCTGTCGCGGCTTGTGCGCTCGGAGACACAGGCGAGCATGTGTGTGTGCCGACGAGGAAGTTGCGAGGACGTGGATATCCTTTGGCCGCGTTGGGTAGCGAGGATTGGTGTAACCCATAGTACCGTAGAGCGCGCGCCCCAGCACTGCCGCCGTGGCGGCAAGTGGGCGCGCGAGAAGTTCGTGATGGCGGTGCAGGGAGAGTTCCCGCGCGCGCGAGGGGCAGGCGTTCCCAAGGGGACGGTCCTGTGCCTCGGCAGGGTGCTCGACGCGCACGATGAGCAGGATGACGCGGAGGGTGGGCACCGGGACTGGGAGGAGGACCCGCTCGGGTTCGACACCAACCCGATGCTGCTCCGCGCCATGCGCATGGCGTTCGAGTGAACGCCGTGCAGGCAGCCTGTGCCTTTTGGTGTACCCCGTTTGTACCGCGTCCTGTGCCCCCGAGTTCATTTAATATACCGTATTCGGTACTATGTACAGAGAAGCCCATAAAAGTCGCCGCGGCAGTCCACAACGAGCCAGCCTGCTGCCGGCTCGCACGGCAGCCTCTTCCTCTGGACCAGCCTCAACTTCCGTACAGTCAACATTTTGTCGCTGCGTGCTCGTGGCGAGCTGTGGCGGCGGTCGAAGTTGGCCCAGATTTGACGACGAGCGCCGGACGATAGTACCGCCTCTGTTCGCCCTGTGCATGTCAGGCCAGGCTGCAGCAGGGCACTACCATCGTGCTGCCCTGTTGCAGCCTGACTTTGCCCACTGTGCACAGTCGCCAGAGCACCACCACCGCCCGGCATCGTGTCACGGCGAGCTCCTTCTGCGCCCGCTCGCGAGGCTCTCGCGCTGGCACACTTTGGACATCTGCTGCTCGCGTTCGGCGAGCTCTTCTCCGCACTCCTGCCACGGCGCCGTCACAACACACCTTCTGGCCGGCCTGAGCCGCGCGGGGTCGCCGGCGGGGGCAACGCGTCGACCTCTCTCTCTGGTGCACCACGGGCCGCGACGGCTGCTGGCAGCAGGTGCGAGGAGGCAGCGTGCTGGCACAGTCGAGCCGGAGCATCGGGTTCTTGATGCTTGTGGGGTCAAGTTTGACCTTATGTGGTATGCAACAATAATGCTATGCTATCTCCCGGCTTTTTGAGATATGATCCCTCAAAGTCGAATTATGGTTTACTGGTGACCATAGTACCGTCTGTCATGTTTGCGTTTCTTCAAACGAATCCTTCAAAGTCTCGACAATCACCAAGCTGCTTATGTGGCACCGCAGAGGCTCCCTTGGGGAGATGCTTGAGGCCACCCCAACCACTCACGAAGCCGTACGTGGACGCATTCAAATCTACTTTTATGGTTTACCTACATTATGCGAGTACGGCAAACCCCGCAAAGTGACCGTTTTTACCACCCACGCCCGTGCGCGCGTATCTTACGTGCCTTTCTGCCTCCCCCCCCCCCCCCCCCCTCCTAATAGCCCCCAAGAGCTCGAATAAATCAGCGGCCCCGTCGCTCACGCCCAACACGTGAAGACATCCATTTGAACGCTCCGCCGACACCAGTTGGCAAGGGCTTGATCCTCTCAGTGATAACGGCGCGGCCCTCGTTGATTGAAGTCCGTGCTCTGCCAGAGAATTCAACGAAACTAGCTTTCTTGGCAGAGAAAGCAGCAGCGGCCGCGTTTGCACTGGCAGCAAGATGCGTGCAAGATGCGTCCCTGCAAAGAGAGATGTTCTCCCTCAGCATACGCAGCTTTGCGCAGCGCAGCGTACGGGCCACGCCACGCAAAGCCGACCCTCAGTCTGCCCGAGAGGCTGTCTGAGGAAGGCCTGGCAAGCGCGTACTCGCCTCCTCCGCGGCCATGCCCTCCGCACGGGCGAGCGAGCAACGCGAGAGGGGACACAACCCATGCGGGATGCATGCCGCCTTGTTTGTTGGGGGACTCGAACCGCGGCGACGGCTCCAATCATGTCGCCACTTCCCAGGCCATACTCACCTCCGACCCCGCCGGCAGCGGGTGTCTTCGGCGCGTATAACTGGAGCCGGTTCCCTGCTGCGTGGTTCGGAGCAAATGGCACCGAGTGGGAATCGGCAGCGCAGCTGGAGGAGATTGGCCGGTACTCGCTCGCGATCCTAGGCGCGCACGGGGCTCGATTTGTAATCACTCCCATGTTCTCTTAGTTCAGAACGCGGTGCAGCATGCTAGGCTGGCAGCACCTCGCCACTTCGACGGACATGACCGCCGTGATCTACCCGCAGCTCGCCCAGGCCGCTCTCCTCAAGGACCGCCACCCAGCGCTGCCCGTGCTCGTCTACGCGTCCTTTGGCTGGGCGTTTGGGATGAACGCGGCGGTGTGGCCGCTGATGCACAAGCCAGAGTACGAGGGCTTCTTCCTGCTCTCGACCGACGGCAAGCCCGAGTTCTCGCGCACAAACTGCCAGCAGATGCGCTCCGCCTCTCCGCACTGCGTCGGCTGGTTCTGGAACTTTGCAAACTCCTCGGCGCGCGACTACTACGTCGAGCACATCGTCCTGCCGCTCGCCCTCTCCCCCACCATCGACGGCGTCTTCTTCGACGCCTTCAACTACGGCTACGATATCCCAGAGGTGCGGCCGTCTCTAGACTGGTCTCGGCTGCACCTCGGCCGCACCTCGGCCGTACCTCGGCTGCACCTCGGCTGCACCTCGGCTGCACCTCGGCTGCACCTCGGCTGCCCCTCGGCTGCCCCTCGGCTGCCCCTCGGCTGCCCCTCGGCTGCCCCTCGGCTGCCCCTCGGCTGCCCCTCGGCTGCACCTCGGCTGCACCTCGGCTGCACCTCGGCTGCACCTCGGCTGCCCCTCGGCTGCACCTCGGCTGCACCTCGGCTGCCCCTCGGCTGCACCTCGGCTGCATCTCGGCCGCACCTCGGCCGCACCTCGGCTGCACTCTTCGAGGTGCGACCGTGGGGCCGGCGCGTCGTCAACGTCCCAAACTGCTCCACGGTCCCCGCCTCCGGGGGCGCGGCAGTCTGGAGCGGCTGCGAGGCGCTTCTGGACGGGACACTAGATGTCGCTCGTCGCTCAGCGCGCCTCCTGAACGCGCGCGGCAAGGCGCCGATGTTTGCGAACGTGGGGAGCTTTGCGAGGCCGGCGAGGCGGCGGAGGCCTACCTGCCAGGCGATAGAGCCCCAACCTCGATGCGAGGGCTCATTGACTCGCAGGCGCGGCAGCGGATCTGGCTCAACGAGTCGCGGCTGCTCGAGGCGCTGCGCGGCGCGCGGTACTCGGTCTACTACGAGAGCTTCCGAGGCGACGTGGCGCCGCGCGACGACGGCGCCGGCACGCTGCGCAACATGCTGCAGGAGTCCTCTCGCGGCGTCGCGGCGACTGTGCACACCTACTACAAGTCCGCGGACGAGGACCCGCTGCCTCACGTCGCCGCATTCCTCCTCGCGCGCGCCGAAGGGTGGTACTTCCTCGGCTCCACCGGCTGGTGGGACAAGTCGTACCGTTGGACCTCCCTCTACGACGCTGCCGGCCGCTGCGGCCGCCCGCTCGGCGCCGCCACGAATCAGAGCCGCAAGTGTGCCGCCTCCGCCCCCGTTAGTACACTCGGCGCCGCCACGAATCAGAGCCGAGTGTCACCCCAACCCTACCCCCTAACCCTGACCCTAACCCTGACCCTAACCCAGACCCTAACCCAAACCCTAACCCTAACCCTAACCCTGCGGCCGCCCGCTCGGCGCCGCCACGAATCAGAGCCGCAAGTGTGCCGCCTCCGCCTCGTCATCGAATGAGTAGACGGGGCGCCTCGGGTAGAGAGAGGGGCAATGGAAAACCGACCGGCCACTTCTCCGTGAGAGGGGGGGGGTGGGTGGGAGCGGGAGTCCCTTCCCTGCGGCCCTAAGCGGAGGGAGGCCCTCCGCCACATTCGATGGCTCCGGCTGTAGGCGCCGGTGCGCAGAAGTGGTTGGCGGACGAGTGTTAGGTACCTCCGCCCCTTCGAGGGCTGCGTGGTCTCCCTCGATTGCACCGGCGCCGCGGCACAGCCAGCAGAACAGACCGCCGGCGGCACCGGAGAGGCGGGGCAGGCTGTGGCGGCGGCCGCCGGCTGCGTCGGTAGCGGCACCGTCCGGGTTGCGCGGCCAATGTGTCGGCCACGTCCGGACCGAGGGTTCCGTGCGTTGTAGGCAACATCAGCTTTCACCATGCGGCGCCGGCGGGCGGCGCTGTGCAGGAGGCCCGCTCTCGTGTGAGCGCCTGAGGGCCCATGCGTGGGAAGCCGCAAGTTATCCCTCTAGGTGACACCGGGCCGCCCCCGTCACAATCTCTTTGAGAGACCGGTGCACGTGTGGTCATAGCTTGCGCGGCCGCTTTTCAAAACCGTCACGTGAAGGGGTTCACGGGGCCGACTAGTTACCGTGCACGCCCCGAAAGTGGAGTGTGTGAATCGCAAGATTGTCTCGTCGAAAAGCCAGGGCGGCATTCGCGCCGCCAACCAAGATAATCATCCACAACTCGCCAAAGAGGTTGGCAGTTGGGGCACCGGGCCCGAGCGCCGTCGACCGCACCGACTACGGCACAGCCTCTCCGGCAGCGCCTGGGGCTTCGCCCAGCACCACTCACAACACCTCTCGCGCGCCGCCGTCTGTGGCGACGCGCAGGACCGACCCCATGGCTTGCACCTTCGGCGGCTGGCTCGAGTTTGTCTGGGCGCGCTGGGACGAGCCGTACGAGAGCATCTCGCCGCTGGTGCGCGGGTCGCCCATCACGCTCTATCAAGTTGTCGACTCAGGCACGCGCAGTCCCTCGTACGTGACGCCGGACGCAATGCGCAATATGACCTGCGGCGAGTGCTGCCGCCGCCGCTTCATGCCCAACCGTGGACGCGAGGCGCCGTCGTACTTGCGATATATTGCCGAGCGCTACGACACGCTGCCGCAGTGGGTCATCTTCCTCCAAGGCAAGCCGCACGGCGACCCTTCCCTGCTGAACCGCGTGTCGGATTGCCTGTGGCGCGAGGAGCCTCGAGAATGGACTGTGGACGCCGCCGCCGACTTCCTGCCGATCGTGCCGACCATCTACGTCACAGACCGTTCCCTGCACTACGAAGACTGGCAGCCGGGATACACGGAGCTCTGGAACCAGTGGGGCACCGGCTTCCCGTTTGAGGAGACGCCGCACCTGCCGAGGTCGCCAAAGGGCATCAGGACCGTGTCGTTCGATTGTTGCGCGCAGTTCCTCGCGTCGCGCCGCGCACTGCGCAGGAACCCACGGCAGCTGTACGAGGTGGGCAGCGAGGTGGCCCTCACCTTTGACGGCGCCAGCGCAGAGAAGGCGACTCAGCTCGACAAGCGGGCCAACTTTGGCCTCAACTGGGCGGGCTCCGCCTTTGAGCACATCTGGCACGTACTGCTCGGGCAGCCGGCTCGTATGGAGAAGCACTGCAACCCTTGCAGTCGCGGTGGCGCCAACCGCCACGGCATGAGCGCGTCCAACGCGAGCGGGCCATTCCACTGCTGCGCGACGACGCGGGAGAACTGTCCGCAGTCAACCTCTCACAGACCAGCGCACAGCCATAGGAGGTATTTTCTTCTCAATAACTAACGAACGGGGGCGACAGAGACCATTGAGCAGGCCCGCCTGCTCAACGCCAACAACATCTCCGACGCGCTCAAAAGCATCGGCCTGCACGTGGTGCGCGCTCCCACCCGGGACTCGCTCAAACGCGCAGAGACGGACCCACGCAGTGGCAAGATCACCTTCGTCCCTACTCTCGGTAATGGGTCGAACTGGTTCGCCAACTTTGAGACCACGGCGATAGCGTCCTGGCCCGACTTCCTCATCATCGGCGGGCGGTACCACCGCTACAAGGTGCTGGGGGAGGCGGGACAGAAGATCTGCCACCGCTGCAAGGGCTACCTCGCGCCACCAGCAGGCCTCGCCTCAGACAAAGAGGCCCGTCTCTGCCTGGCAGGAGGAGGCGGCCGCTGCAAGCCGCAGCGCAACCCCAGCTCTCGCCCACCCAAAAAGGCGAAGGTGATCCCGTCCGCTCTGGCCCTTGGAGCAGGGGACTGCCCCTACCACCTCGCGGGCCGATGCCCCAACGCCTCGCTGGACGCCCCCCGATGCGCCCGCGTCCACAGCATGCCGTACCCGAACTGCGCCTTCGGGCCGGCGACGGAAGCGCTGCTCGAGCTCGACCCAGGCGCCAAATGCGCGAACGGCTCTGGCTGCCTCTACGTGCACGACGGCTCGGGAGTGGCGCCTGCGTCGCCTCCGAAGAGCAACCTCGCCCAGCGCATGGCTGCGGCGCGCGCGGCACGCGCCGAGCGCGCGGCTCGAGGCGTACCATCGTCGGACCTCGAGGCGCCATCGACTCCGGTCCCGAGCAAGGGCCCTGCTTCAGCAGCAAAGCGGGCCGCCGCCGGCACGCCCGGCTCAGCAGAGGCCGCCAAAAGCAAATGGCACCGCCACGATGGCGCAAGCGACGAGGAATGAGGTCCCACCGACCCCACTCACACTGACACCCGACCTCGCGCATAGCACGCAGCCACTGTCACATAGAATGATGTGTGACAAAACCCATCAACAACATGATGCGCAAAGCGGCCGGCCACAGACCACCCAGGTGACGCTAGCTCCTTGCTCACGCATACCGCGTTTATGTGGTGAACTATCTGCACGACAAACGGAAGGACCTGCAACCACGTGATTCGCAGATGACCTCCATTGCTGACGGTGGAGCGGTTGAAGATGGTGGCGTACATCAGCGCGTTCCAGCCGTCGCTGCTCTGCAGGTTGATCTCCGCGCCGCACCGTATCAGCAGCTCAACCATCCGCTCGAGGCCTTCGCCGGCGGCGTACATGAGCGCGCTTTCGCTGTTGCTCGCGCCCAGCCGCCCGTTTAGCTCGGGGCGCGCCGAGAGCCCACCGAGCACGACCCGCTGCCCGAGGAGCGGCGCGTCTTCAGCCGCCGCTGCCGCGCCCGACGAAGCGCCGTTCGCCTGTGTTCCGCCTTCTGCAACCTTTGCCGCGCCTAAATGCGCGAAAGTAAATGCGCGAAAGTAACTAGATACCTTGGGTTGCGGGCAAGGGTGGGCGACGGCTAGCGCATCACACCCCTCTCCTTAAAATCCCTGTGTGGTGGCGGCGTGCCGTCCTCCCATCCCTCCCTTGGGTTGTCCGTTTTCTTTCTTTTTTTTTGCGGGCATTAAGAAAACAGGGAGCAGCGGCGAGAGACTGCGAAAAGAGATATGTCGAGCCAACCAGTCGCTTAGCCAGGCCCCGCACCTCTCGTGCCTGTATACTGGCCTGAGGACGCCAGCGCTGGCTGCGAACGACAGCCCGATCACCCTGAACCTGGTTTGTGGAGCTCCCGCACATTACCTAGAGAGCCAGGTGTATTCTTTTTTTGCTTGGGCGGACAGCATGATGAAATTCTGGAAAAACCTGACCGGCCCCTGCCCTGCCCCTACCTGCCTACCTACCTACCTACCCTACTTATGGGAAACTAAAAAAGAAATCACTTGCCGGGTGAAGGTGGGATACTATACCAACTACAGTGATGGTTGGTGGTACTCTCCTGCAACCATAGTCCTTCCTGAGACATGACAGGCCACTCTCAAGCCCTACAAGCACCAGATCACCCACTTGGGGAGGGTTGACATTGTGATTTCCGCGGAAAATTTCTTTTTTTGCTGTGAAATTCCGGCGTGAAGAGAGGGAAAACCCCGACGGGAGGGCCCAGACCTACCCTACCTACCCCGTCATGCTGTCCGCCCAAGCAAAAAAAGAATACACCTGAGAGAGCACGGCATTCGGGGCCATGATCTCGGTTCCGCACTGGACTTTTTTTGTAGTGGAGAGAATTAAGGAATCTTTCTGCTCTGGCAGGCAGCTGCATCATTTCCCTTTACTTCAATCAGCTGTGTACACTCAAGTGCTATTACTGTCTGAATAGCTGTCTAGACGCTCCGATTTTGCTGTCTGGACGCTGTCTGGACACTGTCTGGACGCTGTCTGGACGCTGTCTGGACGCTGTCTGGACATGGAAGATCGCATGAGGTGTGAATAGACCTGCAGACAGGAATCATACTCTGATACTCAACAACACGTCGGCCAGCTGTGAGCGATCAAAACTTGAGTTGCATTATTCTCTTGGTTGGATGGATGGACGTGGTATGACGTATGTGGACAAAACATCTTTCTCAATGGAAACCGATGTGAAAGGACGGCGTGGCGGCGCCGCAAGCGCGTTCGGTCGCGCGCGCCCCGAGGCCGCCGTCGTGGGTGCAGCGTGCGTGCCTGACTGAACTGCTGGGCTCACGCTTTGCCCGATGCGCAGCGGCGGGTCGACGTGGCTACTGCCGGCCCGCAGCTTCTTCATCGGCTGCGGCGCGGGGCTCGCGGCTGCAGCATGGAACCCGACCAATGTGTGCCCACGCTTGCTCTGCCCTTTCCGCAGCATCGTTGCGACGCTGGCGTTGCCCAGTTGCCGCCACAGTTGCCGCTCTGCCCGAGTTCTTCGCGGGCACTTTGGGGGACCCTTCTGTGAGAGGGCCTGTCTAGACAGCTGTCTGGACAAAACTACAAGTTCAAACTTCAAGTTCTCAAGTTCTCTTAAGTTCTGCTGTCTAGACGCCCCCCCCCCCCTCAATGGCAAGTAAAGAAAGCGGCATGCGGATGGGTGGGTGGGTGGGTGGGGAGTGGCCTCGGCAGCGCCAGGGGTGCTGTCAGGGGTCGTCCAGCCACGACTACGAGACTTTACTGTGAAGAGTGGGGCCATGTGCCACTGTCTGGACGCTGTCTGGACGCTGTCTGGACACGCTGTCTGGACGCTGTCTGGACACTGTCTGGACGCTGTCTGGACACTGTCTGGACAGGCTCAGGACTGTCTAGACATGTGCGGGAGCTCCACAAACCAGGTTCCTGCGTTCCGCCAGGACCGCCCTTTCGCCAGCCGCCGCGGCCACTTGATCCATCTCGGCCTCTCGGATCGCCTTCTCCCGTTGTTTTGCCCTGTCTGCTGCCGGCACGAACCTCACCGGGCTGCCTCGTGCCCTTTCATTGTGGCAAGATCCGCGTTGGGGAAGGCCGACCCCTAGGTGCAGCCCCGGCTCGGGGTGCGCTCGCCTGTTGCGGCGGCTGCCCCCCCCTCGCCGCCCCCCCGTATCCTTGTCTCCTCTTCTCACGGACCACAGGGGCTGCACAACAAAAGCACACAAACACTCCCTGTCCCTGCATGGCTTGGCATAGGCGCGTCCTCATCCCCTCCTCCGCTTCTCCTCCCACCCGCTCCGAGATCCGTTCCAGGATGGCGCTAACCACCTCTTCAGCCACTTTCGTAGCCGCAGGTCCGTCTTCCGGCTTCACGTGGAACAGTGTGCGAAATTTACCGCCGCACCCATGACAGGCGGCTAGCGTGGGGAAGCGCTCCATCCCGAGCGACTCGAGAGGGATCCCCACCGTTTGCCAGTGGCGCGTCACTTGTATCGCCCGCTGCTTGGCCACCCGGGCCACCATCCTCAGGGCGCCTCCCTCCATCCCGAGCAGCGCACCCACCATCTCCGCCTCCGCCATTCCCACCAGTCGCAGGAATCGGGGGAGGGCGGCCGGCACCGCTCCGTCGGGGACGGCCTCCTCCGGGACCGCTCCAGCAAGCTCGTGTAGCGCTTGCAGCGTTGCTGCCGCGTCTTTCGCCTCCTCCCCGTCCCCCACAACCTTGTCCGACAGGGGCAGGAATGACACACCTTGTGACGGTGCCCTGGCAAAATCGTCCCGATTTCGATGCGCGATTTAGCTAAGTCCCAGAGCCGTTTACGCATGAGCGGGCCCCCTCACCAGCCTAGGGCTCGCGCTTCTGGCCCGAGGTGTCGCCGCTGCCTCCCGCGCCCTCCGGCGCCTGCTGCTACTGCCGGTCGGCCGGTCGGGTCCGCGCGACGGCTCCATCCTCGAGACGTAGCGGTCGCTGAGCGCTTTCTCGACCGCTACGTCTTCCAGTGCACCCGCCCACCGCGACCCTCGAATCTGCGCTGCGCGGCGCAGTTGCTGCCGAGCGAGACGCCCCCGCCCGCGCAGGGGCGGCATCACCAGACGCTACCGCATGGCCGAGCAGCGAGCAGTGTGTGCCGCAGTGCCCGTCCGGGCCCTCTTGCAGCTGCCTCTGTTGGGCGTAAACCGCGGATATAAGGGTCTATACGGAGGTGGGTGGCCTCTTAGAGGGATGGGAGCCGCTGGCACCGCGCTGGGCGCCGCGGATGCACGTACGAACGAACATTATGAAATCGGGACGATTTTGACCCAAAAATCACAAGGTGAGGGAGTCGGGCTGCCAGCGCACCACGCGAAGTCCTGTTTTCTTAATGCCCGCAACCCACTGTACGTGCCTCCCGTGTTGTAGCCTTGCCTTTGTGCCCCGTTTGTTGTTTGACGCTAGACAGATGATGACGACACGCACGAGCGACACACACAGAGACAAACAGGCTCACAAGACAGTAGGTAGGTAGAAAGGTGAAGAACAGCCAGGCTCGGACTGGACACCAACGCGGTATGGGTGGACGCTGGACAGATGATGACGACACACACGAGCGACACACAGACACAAACAGGCTCACAAGACACACAGCCATCTGGCTGCCACGCCACACACCCTGAGTCGGCGTACACATAACTCAGGGCCACATCCTCCCTGTCGCCCCCCCCAGCTCAAAAAGAAAGTTTAAGAAGATCTGCCCGCCGGTCCCGGGGGCGCTGTGCTAACTCGTACGTCGCGTTGACCCGCCCGCCGCCGTCGAGCCACGCTAGCACCGCCTCCTCCTTGCCTCGTCCAACCGCTGTCACGACCTCGTCAGGGACTTCCACGACACCGCTCAGCTCCGCCGCCGCCGGCGACAGATTACCCGGCCGGACTAGCACGCTCTCGACGCCGCCCTCGAGCGCCACCGCGTACCGCCCGCCCTCGAAGCTCCGCGCCTCGCCCAGCCGCCCGTTCAGCTCGGGGCGGGCCAAGAGCCCACCGAGCACGACCCGCTGCCCGAGGAGCGGCGCGTCTTCAGCCGCCGCTGCCGCGCCCGACGAAGCGCCGTTCGCCCGTGCTCCGCCTTCTGCAGCCACCGCCGCCTCCGACAAATACCCGGCGCCGCTTCGCATGTGCATGCGTGCAGAAAGATCGGGGCCGTCATGAGGGTGTTCGGGTTTGGGTGTTTTCAGTGTGTTTCAAGCGAGCCAGCCTGTGGCAGAACACTTCGCTTCGCGCTGCAGCGCTTGGGCCACCGCCCTGGCCATGTACGAGCTTTTGCCGGCCACGGCGGCTACCAAGAGGATGGGCCCGGGCTCTGGCGCCGCGAGCACGGTGCCACCTCGACGTGAGTAGGCCCTGAAGCCGCCCGGCGCTCGCCGCGCTGCCCACGCCAGAGACTGGCTTGCTGCCGCACCACCTCTCGTGACTGTACTAGGCGGGACGGAGGTCGACACTGGTCAGCACCGCGGCTGGTGACGCC